GGGCTAGATGCCTGGGTGTGTGGTCAAGGCACCTCCTCAGGTTCCCCTCACTTTCGTGTGAGCTCCAGTTCTCAGGAGAATGCCAGTGGAGAAAGTACGGCTTGCTGCCTGGGAGCCGGCTCATGAGGTCTTGTTCTACTTCTTGCTATGAGGCAACTGGCGGGAGCAAGGCAGAAGGGGAGTGGCAGTGGTGATGGCACAGGGTAGGAGGAAGGAAGGAAAGGACAGAGAAGGCCCCAAGCACTATGGACTGCTGGCCTTCTGCTCTGCTCACTTTCTGGATTGGTTTCTTGCACTGTGATGACAAAAGAGTCACATTTAAGTATTGAAAAAAACCCACATCCCAAAACCCCACATGATGTCATGGGGTGGGGCCTAATGACATCACATACTCCCTCAATGCATCTTGCTTAGTTCCAATCCAGGTTGATTGTGGCGCATGGAACCAGTGAGTTGTGAGCGCCTGTGGAATGGCAATGTGATGTCACAGGTGTGCTCCCTCTGGGTTTTCATGCATTTAAAAATCAATGTTGGGCAAGTCTTGAAATCATAATGCCCATATTCTGATGTAGTCTCATAAGAAATGTGCTGAGCAGCCTGACCTGGATCGCCCAGGCAAGTCCAGTCTCATCAGCTCTCGGAAGCTAAGCAGGTTCAACTCTGGCAAGTAGAATCATAGAATCATACAGTTGTAAGGGTGTAACACACCCAAGCTCCTTCGACCTTTCCTCATAGGACTTGGTCTCCAGACCACTGTTCCCTCTAAGCTGTAGAATCCTGTGAGCAAAATTTCTACTTTGTGAGCTACTGGCATTAAAATTGTGAGCAAATGATTTGGCTACTGCATAAATTAGTCTGCTCTGAAGCCGTTCTTCCTGAGCTAAGACAAAAAATGTGTGAGGTGGAGGCTAAAAAACTGTGAGGTAGCTCACACTAACTCAGCTTAGAGGGAACACTGCTCCAGACCCTTCACCATCTTTGTTGCCCTCCTCTGGACACATTCCAGCTTGTCTATATCCTTCTTAAGTTGTGGTGCCCCAAACTGAACACAATACTCTAGGTGAAGTCTAACCAGAGCAAAGTAAAGTACTTGGATGGGAGATAGGGTTGCCAAGTGTTACCTGTATCCGGAGCGGGGGACTCCCGGATTGCTCTGGGAGTACATGCAGGAGCCGCACGCACATCACCCAGAAGTGATGTGACGACGCCGGGCACGCTGGGGGCGGGGCCACGACCATCTGAGGGAAAACCATAGAGTTTTCCCTCGGATGACCGTGGCCCCGCCCCCAGCGTGCCCGGCGGTGTCACGTCACTTCCGGGTGACATGCACGTCGGGGTGGGGTTCCCCCCGGGGCCCGATCTGCCGGCAGTGGGGAACAGGCCTCTGGAGCGGGGGTTTCCCCGCCCCCCGGGGGGACTTGGCAAGCCTAATGGGAGACCTCCTTGGAATACCAGCAGTCAGGAGGCAGGGCAGGCTTTATTCTGCCACCTCTCTGAATATCCTCCAGGCCTCCAATAGGGGTCAGTCACCAGAGGTCGCCATGACTTCCAGGTGTACACACACACATGCACATTAAAAAATACAAAAAGAAAAGAAAAGAAATGTGCTGAACTACATCTGAATATTCCTTTTCACCTCATTGTATTTTTAGATGAGCATAGAACTAATTCACAAGATGTCTGTTTTCTGCCCACTTTTGTGGGTGAACTGCCTGATGGCAACCACAGCTTAGACATATTGTTTCTCATGGGGCCATAAAACATACGTTTTATCTCTGGTTATTCTAAATCCTGCATTTGTATGTTTATTTATTACCAAGATTTCTCCTGCAGGTGAGTAATGGAAATACTGCAAACTGGGGCAAACACCATTTAAATTTCTTTGATGTACACAGTTGTGAATAAATAGGACCAACACTGTAGCCTTCTTTAAAATTAGTTGTGTAGACATGAATGATTGCGTGGTATGGGGTAGAATCCTCTAATTTAAAGGGTTACATTTCTTGTGTTCAAGGAGAACTGTATGAAGTATAAGGGGAAGGGATTCATGCATTTCAATAAGTGTTTGAGAAAGAACAAAGCCACCCCTTAGTGAAAAAGTTAAGTACATTTCACTGGGATGAGATGGTCGTACCTAACACACATTTGTACTCACAATTACCTAACCCATACCTAAAATTGATGGTACCTATTAAGAAAGAGGGTGTGATATATATATATTTTTTAAATCTAAACTGGTTTCAGGTTTTAAGGAGGGTGAAAGTAGGTGCAAGGAGGTGGGCTGAGTTTTCTTTTGGGCTGATTCCAAAATGTCCTTGACTCTGCTTGAGTATAGGCGGGTGGCTTTACGTATTACAAATATCCTCTTACATTCTAAATCCAGTGACTGGAGCTGTGAACAGGCAAGACAGATCTTTCTACAAACTTGAAAAGGGGCCCAGGTCTGCAGAAAAATGTCAAATCTAAAAACAAAATACTTTGAGTGGTTTAAAAAACCTAAAAATGATAAAAGGAATGTCTGAAGCTTTAAGCAATGGATTCTCTCAGTGGCTGTTGCTAGGCAACTATAGTATTCAAAGCTGGGTTTCTGTGACAAAAAGGCAAGGGGAGAGGGCAGGGTCTTTTCCAGGCCTATTATGGCCTTTGAGAAAGGACTCATTGGGGCCAGGCTTGACTAGGCTTACCAGCTCCAGGATGGGAAATGCCTAGAGATTTTGTGGTGGAGTGTGAGGAGGACAGGGTTTGAGAAGGGGAGAGGTCTCAGCCAAATATAATACCATCAAGTCCACCCTCCAAAGCAGCCATTTTCTCCAGGTGGACAGATCTTTGTCATCTGAAATTCACTTGTAATTCTGGGAGATCTCCAGTCCCCATATGGATGTTGGCAACCTGAGGCCTGGCTGCAACCTCTGAGTAACTTGATGCCATCTGACCTTCATGACCAAACTAGGTCTGGCTGCTTGCTACTGCTCAACAGCAGCCGCTCTATGAAAGCCATTGTGGTGTAGCCATTTCAGCTTCAGAGTAGGGTCTGGGAGACCCAGGTTCGAATCTTTGGAAGCTCACTGGGTGATTTTGGACCAGTCACATACTTTCAGTGTAACTTACCTCACAGGGTTGTTGTGTAGATAAAAAGGAGAATAAGAGAATACTGTAAGCTGCTTTGGTCCCCACTGTGGAAAAAAGTGGAGTATAAATGAAGTAAATAAATAATAAATATAACTGAAAATGGGGGACAAAAGATAGGTTGGTGAATGGCTGAGAAGGAGAGTATAAGGCAGGTAAAGGGGAGAAGATATGGGGTTTCCATGGGGAGGGAAAGTTGAAATTGTGCAGTGAGGGGGATACAGGGGAAAGTGATACCCCCCACAAGTCCTTGAGGGTTCCCTATCATGCAGGTGGGCCTGGGAAAGAGGAATAGTGTGGAGAGGGGAATACAAGCCATTGAGGATTCCCTGCCATACAAGTGGGCCTCGCCCAGTGGCTGACACTCACAAGTGGGTCATGGTTTTCCTAGGTAGAGGCTGCTGGGTGGGGCAGTCTAAGACAGAGGGACACATAAATATAGGTTGGCTGTAGGGTAAGAAAGAGATATGGTTGTCAACTCCAGTTTAAGAAATTCCTAGAGATTTGGGGTGGTGGAGCCTGGGGAGGGTGGGGTTTGAAGAGGGGAGATACCTCAAAGGAGTATAATACCATAGACTCCACCCTCCAAAGCAGCCATTTCCTCCATGGGAAGCTAGGGTTACCAACCTCCAGGAGCTGGAGATCACCCAGAATTACAACTGTTCTCCAACTGACAGATATCAGTTGCTCTGGATAAAATGGCTGCTTTGGATGGTGGACTCTATGGCATTATACCCTGCAGAGGTATCTGCCCTCCCCAGACCTTGTCCTCCCAAGCCTCCACCCAAAATCTTCAGGAATTTCCCAACTTGAAGCTAGCAACACTAAGGGGAACTGATCTATGTAGCTTTGAAACCTGTTGTGATTCCTGGAGATAGACCCCACCTGAAGGTTCAAATGCAAAAGAAAAAGCAAGCTGTATGCAAGCGCTATACAGAATCAATGCTCAAAAAACATGGGGAAAAAGTTTTACAGTGCTGATATCAAACCATGTATAAATGACAATGATACAAAGAAGAAGGAAGGGAGGTCCAAAAAAGGGCAGGTTGACAAAGTTTTCCGGAATACAAGTTCGTTTTGACTGGCTTCATCTGAACAGGACCTCGTGGAACAATAAGATGTCTTCTAAGTTTCATTCATCATAGAGTATGATAGTGAAGATCATATCACTTCATAAAACTCTTATTATATGCTTTAGTGCGATATTCTACAGTTGCAGTGAAATATTCCAAAGTCTCTTTGGGGTAATAGTCTGAGGCACCTATGTTCCTAAGGACTGTTTTATGAATATCACTGCAGGCTGTAAAATGGTTTTTATGCCCTTAGCTTGTTTTATTATTGATTATTCTTATGTTGTTGTTTTTATTATTTTAACATTTGTTTTTACTCAATGAGCTGTGTCAAGTAGGTTTCTGGAGAGATGGCATATATGTTTTCAGAACAGAAATAAATACACGCATACAAAATTCCGTGCACATATTCTGAAAACATGCAAATACGTACAGCATCACATATTACATTGTGTGTACTTCCCCCCCCCCACATAAACATGCACACTCCTGCCCCCTGCTGTGTGTTAACTGTATGCCATTATTACCTGAGCACAATCCTTGAGTGTCCTTAGACCCACTCACATAACCAGGTTGTGTTGGATATTACTAGTGCTGAAGCAGCTATAGCACAAGAGTACTCACATTGCTGTGGGTCATGTTAAAAGCAGTCTTCACCATGATTTGAAACTGATGTTACTGGGGTGACAGTGGTGAGAGAGAGCTTCCAAACATAACATGCCTCACAACTATTGTTTTACTCGTAAATCGTGATTAAAAACAAAGTTTTATCTTTAATCAGCATTCATGTTTTATATCCCCTAGATAAATGGGAAGCCAATCCAATACATCTTTCCCCACGCAAGACTGAAACTTCTGAGGGACCCAAAGGATCACTCAGTTTCAGGTACAGCAAACAGCAGCAGCATCTGGTATTATTAGATGATTTCTTATGTGGTGTGCCAAGACTGTCTGAGAGGGCAGTCAGCATTGTTGTAAGGGTGATGCTATTTAATTAGGTCAGAAAATATTGACTTGTTTCTCTTTGCATCCTGCTTTGTCCATGGTGCAATGGCTTTTCAGTGCTCACTGAAAGATGTTGGTCATGCATGTATGGAGCTTCCTAGTACCAGAGGAATGTGCTCCATAGCCAAGGACTGCCTCTGCTACAGAAAAGGGCACATCAGGAGCAAGGCTTAGACTCAAAGCCATTGATATTTATTAGACGCCCCAACACTTGGTTAAGAACAGGGCTACACGGAGAAGACCGTTGAAGAAATGTGCTTTTACCTCTCCTTGCATGAACAGACGGCAGCAAGCAGGGAATCAGCCTGTCAGCCATTTTTTCAAAAGTGTGTCCTTTGAGCATGCCCACAAGCACTCATGAGCCTGCTGGGATATGGAGTTCATGGGGCTGTTGGCCATTTTCTTTTTAAAGTTATGTCCACAGAGCTAACGCACAAGCAGTGAAGAGACTGCTGGGATATGGAGTTCACTGCTGTCCTCCCTCTAATCTTTCCAATTTACCCCTTCCACAAACAATATTCAAAAGCTGCAGAACAGGAGTGTCTTTCTTTGAGAGTTTTTCAAAAGCAAACAAGGTTTTGAGCAGCACCCCTGGAGGGAGAGATGCGTATATACAGTCATGCGATACTCGTTAACTGGGGGGGGGGGATGGCGGCTAGAAAACAAGAGATCGGTGAGACAGCTTGGGTGCACAACTGAGTGACTAGACAACAGAAAATCCATTATGGAAGCAGCTCAGACCAACAGGACCGGACTTTCTCAGGTATCAAAGAAACAAGGGGCAAGGGGAGGGGGGAATGGAACTCAGAGGACTGGGGCATGACAGACAGATGTTGCTGTCTGATCGTGCACTTTAAATCCATAAGGGAACAGCAAGGGCAACAGATCAAATTGCCCGTGTGAATGTGACCCAAGACTCAAGGGGCAATTAGGTTCCTTGGGAACCAGCTGTCCTCGTCTGTGTGATGAAGCAAGAGGCATCATATGCAAATAACTGAAAGTAGGTCCTTATCAGAAGCACCAAAACTACATTTCCTAGGATTGCTGGTGGCCCCCACACATGTCAGTGGGCAGGAGAAGAATTAAATGGCTCCCTGCAAATAGCCCCCACCCCAGCCCCCATTAGCATTTCCCATGTGCGCATGCTCTGGCCAGGTAAGATCAGTGCCTTTAAGTATTCCTAACTTTGTCTCTGGATTGTGACCGGAGGAATGGTTTCTGTTAGGACTGAGGGGCTGTCAGAAACTTCCATGTAGTGAATCAATGGGCCCTTTGAAGGAGACAGAGGTGATACCATGCCAGTTTTCTGGGCAGCAATTCCAGGTATACAAAAGCAGCAGGAGAGTAGGTGGAGGCATTGAGTATTAAAGTCTCTGTTGTGTGACAGAGCTAAAAGCAGATAAAGACATTTGTCTCGGTTGTGTAGACTGATAAAAATGCTACGCCAGGTGTTGTGTCTTAATGTTGAGAGCCAGTGTGGTGTAATGGGTAGAGTGTCAGACTAGGATCTGGAGACCCAGATTCAAATCCTCACTCTCCCATGGAAGTTCACTGGATGACTCCACATTTTGCAGGTAATTGAGCAGCGGTGGCAGAACAGCTCAGGAATTTCCTGAGTGACACTTTAGCACTGGACACATTCCAGACCAGTTTCTGCCCCAGCCATGAGACAGAAATGGCCTTGGTCACCCTCACAGATGATCTCTGCAAACAGTTGGATCAAGGCGGGTCAGTGTTGCTGTTATTGCTTGATCTTACAACAGCCTATGACACGGTTGATCGCGATCTTCTGATCAACTGCCTCACTGACATAGGAGTTCGTGGGGTAGTCTTGAAGTGGCTTACTTCATTTCTCCAAGGTTGGGGAAAGAAGGGGGTGCTGGGAGAGAGGGTGTCAAGTAGGCACCCACTAGTATGTGGGGTTCCTCAGGGGGCAATCCTCTATCCGGTGTTGTTTGTCAGGGATGCTCTAGGATGATCCTGCATTGAGCGGGGGGTTGGACTAGATGGCCTGTATGGCCCCTTCCAACTCTATGATTCTATGACTATATCTACATGCACTCCCCGGCCCATTGGTGCAGAGTTTCAGGCTGGGGTGTCACCAGTATATTGATGACACCCAGCTATATCTGTTGATGGGCAGCCGGCCAGATGCTGCCCCTGCAAATTTGACTTAGGGGCTGGAGGCCATGATGGGATGGTTGAAACAGAGCCAGCTGAGACTGAATTCTGCTAAAACAGAGGTTTTGTGGTTGGGTATGGGGGACTCAGGTTTGGGATGCTGACTCTCGGCTCTTGACGGGATGCACATAACACCAGCACCAACTTTCAAGATCCTGGGTGTGATTCTGGTTGCTTCCCTATCATTGGAGGCCCATATCACAAATGGTCCCAGACTGGCATTTTTTTCAGCTACGCCAAGTCAGGCAACTGGCTCCCTACCTGTCTCACCCTGACCTGGCCACAATAATCCATGCAACAGTCACTTCCAGATTAGACTACTGGGACTTGCTGTACATAGGGCTACACTTGAGAGTGACCCAGAAGCTCCAGCTGGTTTAGAATGCAATGGCACGGGTCCTTACCGGGACCCCACAAATGGCACACATTCAACCTGTGCTGCGTTGAGTTGCACTGACTCCAGGTGGAGTACTGGATCAGGTTCAAGGTTTTGGTGTTAACCTTTAAAGCCCTAAACAGTTTGGGACCCACATACTTTCAGGACTGCCTCTTCTGGTTTTTGGCGTCTCAACAGCAGATGCATTCCTGGAGAGCTCCCAGGGATGCGATCTGCACGCCAGTGGTTGGGAGGGGGTGTGATCGTGCACACACACCCTGGGGCCCTTGCGTTGGGCCCCCAGCTATGGGGCACTAAAGGGTTGCCTCTCCTCTGGCACGCTGCCAGAGAATTGAGGCACCCTTCTGCCTCGATGGTCCTGCCGCTGTGCATCCACTATGGATCTCGAGCTACTGACCAGGACAAGTGTGTGGAGGCTGAGCGAGCAACACGTACCTTTGGCGAGGTCTTCGAGCTGACATGAACTGTGAGTCTGTGAAAGCGAAAACACCAGGATAAAGGCAGAAAGCCTCCCCCCTGCAATAAAAAGTGAGTGGGGGAGGTAACTTCCCAAACACAAAGAAAAGACAGAGCCATCTCCAAAGGGGGGAGGCAGCCATAAAAGCAAAACGGAGCTGTTTTAAGAACTTCACAAGAGATTTATAAGCATTAGTGTGAACTTTAGAGACTTTTGGCAAACTACTGTTAAAGATAAACATCCCCAAAGATGGCGGGCAAAAAACCTGAGAAGGATAAGCAAGCGAAACCTAAGCTTTCTTCAGGAAGTTGAGTCCAGCTGAGCTGGTCAGCCAACCAGAAACTTCCATAGACATTTCAAAGATGTTAGCAGACTCTTTGCGGCCTCTGCTGGAACGAATGACAAACATAAACCAGCAATTGACAACTTTAAATCAGAACTTTGCAGCCCAGCAGCTCCAGCTAAGCGAAATTAGTAAAAAGACTGAGCAGACAGCCGAGACGGTGAAGGAGGTGGATGCCAAGACTAAAAAGGTTAAAAAACGTGTGCAGCGGTTGGAGAAGAAGAGAACATCTGATGAATCACAGCTCTTGCAACTACAAATGGAAAAAGCAAACTTTGTCCTGAGATTTCAGGGGCACCCTGAAACTAAGGGGGAGAATCTGAAACAAATTCTGAGTGATGCTTTGACCCCGATTGCAGATTTAAAAGCAGATTATATTCAAAACGAGATGTATGTGGTCTATAGATCATATTCAGAATATATAAAGAAGAAAAATCTGCCAGGGGAAATAGTTGTCAGATTCTCAAAAAGGCATGTGAAGGATCAAATCCTGAAAGCAACATCAGGAACGTCCCTAAAAATTGAGGGCAAGGAAATAAGGGTTTTGAAAGATATTCTATTTGAAATTAGGAAGAAGAGAAAGAAATTTAAAGACTTGGCAAGGTTTTTGCAAACAAACAACATCCCCTCCAGATGGTTGGTACCCGAGGTCATCCTTTTTAAGATAAACGACAAGAAAGAAAGAATTGACACTGCTATTAAAGCTCAGGAGTTTCTGAAGCAGCAACTTGATTCTACAGGAGAGGACGACAAAGAAGGCGACGACAGTGACAAAGGAAGCGACAAGGACTCTGATGCTACAACTTCTGAAGAAGATTCCGATTCACAATGTGGGCAGCCGCCCCCAAATGAGACTATCAATTGAGGAATAGAAGGGGGGGAAATGAGGTGCTGAATGACTCTGAAGTTAGCCTTGTGGATTATTATTAGTGGTTCTTTTGTGGTATTTCTTGAACAGTTATTTTTACTGGTTTTGATAACATAAGCATACATATATTGATCACACTCAATGTAACTAATAATCTCTAATAATTTAGCAAATTTTTATATGCTTTGTAATGGCCACCACCTCTTGAATTTTTAGAGGTTTTTCTTTCCTTTCACCTGTAGTTTGTAGATACCCTCCCTTATTTCTTTGTAGTTTATAGAAAATGCAATAAAAAATATCCCTTCGGGGGTTGGGGGGGCAAAAAAGGACTGCCTCTCCTGGTATTACCCCCCCCTTCAGGTTTTGTCAGTATCGTGGTGGTTCTGATGATCGCGCTTTTGGTGCATTCCTTTCATACTCACGTTTTCTCTCCCCCCCCCCGTCCCCAGTCAGTGCTCCATCTATTCACATTTACATTGAGGATTGGTTTTCCACTTTTAGGCCCCGGTCACACGGGCAGGAAACTGCGGGGGGGAAGCGTGGCTATTTGCCCCGGGGCAAACTAACACGCAGTAAAGCGATCAAACCTCCTGTGGAGGTACCGTGGAGCTTCCGTGGTTTCGGAGAGGCGTCGATCACAACACACGCCTGCGTGCAACGAAGAAGCGCGCGGCGCGGCGAACTGGTTTTCTTTTTTGTGTACACTACGAATGCGCATGCTCGGTTGGGTTGCCAAACCCCCTGGTTTGCCAGGGGTCCCCCATTTTGGGGGGGGTTCTACCCGCTGCCGGCCAGATGGCCGGCGGGGGAAGCCCTGCCCCCAACACCCACAGCCACCCATCTCTCTTCCTTTAAGTGTGTGGAACCTGTGTTTCCTCCCAAGCCCGATCTCCGCAAGCTTGCAGGGAAATGCCAGCTTCATGCTCTTAAAAGGGAAACGCGGCTGCTCTTAAAGGGGAAACACCAGCTCCTGCATTTAAAAGGGAAACACCGGCTCCTTTAAGTGCAGGGAACTGCCGTTTCTGGAGATCCAGCACACGGGCGGGTGGGGGGGGCGGATGTCCCCAACATGACGTCATCACATCGGGGATGCCCCGCCCCCTCCAGGAACGCCTTCAAAGTCCCCCGCTGGGGTGAAAGATGGACTTGGCAACCCTATCCTCCTCTGGGGAGGGAGGGGGAGGGAGATAGAGAGTGGGGAAAATATGGTGTCTCATGGGACTTTTCAGAAGACCAGCAACATTTTATTCCCGGTATAAGCACACTTTTTCTTCAGAGAGAAGAAAGTTTTTCCACATAGGATAGTAAATATAACAGCAATATAATCCAATCACCTACCCTCCCCCACCCTCTTCCTCAGCATAACCCATCAACAAGAGAAGAAAGTGATCCTCAAAAAACAGGATCATGAAACCACAGCGAAAATCGGGCGAAGCCGCAGGTCAAAACACGGCCACGTGGCTTCAAGTGGAAAATTTACCAATAGAAGCAGGACAAAGGGAGGTGCGACCGTGGCACAGCTCTTGTGTGAAATTGGTCCTTGTCTTTACCTGAGGACAATGACCTTACTATTGAAGGGGCACGCAGATTCTAGGTCAGATCTGGAATATAGCAGCCCACCCCAGGGCTATTATTTTCTGCTTGCAGAACTTTGCCATTAAAAGATCTTCTGAGCTAAAGAAATTGGTCAGTTGATGCTATGTTACCCCTACCAGTGTAGATTTAAGAAGCTGAATCACTGCCTTCACTTTCCGGGGGGAAATTAGCTAAATGGCAGGTCTCAGCGAGAGGTGGGGTATTAGCAAGGATCTTTCAACCTGTGTTTACAGAGCTTTTCCTTTTAAGAGAATTCTCAATAACCAGACAGTTGCTTAACCAAAGGGGTTGTTTTTATTAAACAGAAGAAAATCCCAATGAAGTGTACACATACAGAAATAAAACACATGTTAAATCATATACACAAGTAATGGAAGTACAGAGGTGAGCAGGAATAATAGGAGGGGACATATACTTTACCTACTCAGGAGATTAGGAGTCCATGGACTGAAAAGATGGAAAATAACTGAAACAAATGTGGGGGTGACCTGCCAGTAGGAGCCCAGGGCAGACACACAGAGACTGGGGCTTTGTTGAGCTAGTTATACTCAAAGACATGTCCAAAAGGCTTGCTAATATGTGGGGTCCCTCAGAACAAAGAACTGATGATATAAATCAGGGATGAAACAATGTAGTTTGGGGACTTTTTATAGAGTTCCCAAGAGTAGACAAAAGGGACTGGAGATTCTCTTCTAGATGCAAAGTACAATTTAGGTTGGGTTCCTGATTACTTCTCCGGTAGTTGAAGGACTAATGGATTGCTAATTTAAACTAATGAAAATGGACACAATACTGCCACCTGGGTTTAGGGTGTAGGAAAGTAGTAGGAGTCAGGGTTTTCTATTATGAAGGAGATGTGAGGAGGAAAGATGAGATCCAATTGATAGGTTTAGCAACTGAGATTGAAAGAAGTAACTCTGGGGCATTGTCCAGAGTATGCAGATGTTGGCGGGGGGAGTCACAGCTGTGAGAGCAAAGTCAGATGTGCTTTCCAGGGTCACTTCCTAGGCATGATTATGGGGCCTGCCAGTCCTGGTGTCTATCTTTGTGCCCTCTTATGTCAAATTGCCTGGTATATGGACTCCTGGGGTAGCCCTATGGGGTCCATTGCTGGTTGAAATGACCCCTCCTGAGGGACAGGGGGTCGGAATACTTACAACTACTTTTACAAACTTTAGCAGCTGTGAAGGTCTGCAGAAATGAGATTGTCGGCACCAGAACTGAGTTAATGGGTTTCCTGCACTGTGCAAGACTTCTCACCAGCCTTGTGGCTTCTATAATGTAGAAAACTTCCACGGCAACCAGTCTGCAGGAGATCCCTCAAGGAATTCCTATGACTGATGCATGGTTTGCCAGTGATTACATTACCATATTTCTTTTCTCTGTTTGCACAGGGACTAAATTAGGTACATTTCCTCAATATAGATACTCCATTGCACTCCAATTTTTATTTTATCTTGTAACACTTCCCTGTTTATTCCTTCTATTTTTATTTATTTATTTATTTTTATTTATTTATTAATTCGATTTGCTATCCCGCCCTAACCCCTAAGGGTCTCTAGGTGGCTTACAGAGAGTGCTAATCACATTTACAGAATCTAACCTAGGGCCACAGACATACAGGGGTGGTGATTACCCTACCAGGCACCCTTTTTGCGGCAGATCTTCGGTTGTTGTCTTGTTCTTGCGGGTGGTAGTCGGCAGCGTCCTTTCTGGTGCTGGTCTTTGGAGTTCCCTTCTTCCAGCTGTAGCGGTTCCATTTCTGGGCCAGGGCCACTCGCACTTCTGCGGATGCTCCGCTGTGGCCTCTGTCCCGATAATGCTTTGGCCTGCTGCGTTGCTCCGCCTCCGTGCCAGTTGGTATGGCCTTCTTGGCTCGCTCGCTCCTTGCCTTGCCAGCCACCATTTTTCTCCGCCGCCGCCGTCACCACTGCTTCGCTTCGCCGCTCGCCACTCACTGCTGCAACACAGGGACGGGTGCCCCCCCGCTCTAGTAGCAGGTACCCATTAGTCTAATTGCCCTTTGACGGGCTTTTGAACCGCTGGGTGGGCGGGAGCTGGGACATAGGGCCGGGCGCTCACCCCGGCCGCGGTGGGGCTCGAACAGCCGAAGCTGTTTGGCCAGATGTACGTGCAGGCATCATTTACCGCCTGCGCCACCGCTCTATCTGGCTCCCTTCTACGACAGTGTGGAAGCTGTTACAATTAGTCGAGTTGTATGCTGTTGATCTGCTAACTTTTCTTTTAGTGTTTTCTTCCTCTATTCCATGATATTGGTTTGTGTGTGGTGATGGGCACTGTAGCCTCAGCAATGACTGGGTGCATTCGCTCTAACTCTTATGACGATCTTCATTTCTTTCTCTTTAGTGCTCTATTTTTTCCTTTCTGTTTCCTGACACTTCCCCCCCCCCTTCCTCCCTCTTCTCTCTCTCACCTCTCCCCAAGATTCAGAGGCATCAGACAGAGCTTGGAATTTTCCTAAATGGGGCTGGAGGGGTATATTTCCACTTATTGGTGTTTACAGATCCATTTGCTAGAGAGCTCCTATTTCTGAGTTATACCTAACAATCATATAACACAGTGTCAAAGGTACTGGAAGCCCAAATACTATGTAACCTTAAAAGACAACATTCTTACATTGTCATGTTCCAAGAGACTCATATACCCCGGGGGAAACAATAGCAGCTCACTGTGGGATGGGTGAGACAGGCTTTCTGTTCTTGTGGATTGCTGGTTACCTTTCTCTGATGACTTTGATCTAGCTTGGCAGCAAAATTAGGACCAGGGCCCTGAGTCCAATGTCTTCCTTATCTTGCACTTGTGGGCAACCTTTCAGTTCTCTCCCCAAAGGACAGTGACACAGACAGTAAAACAAGAAGCTTATTGCCCTGCCTTGCTGGAGGCGATGCTTGTATTTTCAAGGGTATGTTTATTGTTTGAATGTGACTTATTCTGACCCCAACTAATAACTTATAACAAGTAGGGGACCTGTGCCAAACAACAGCACCTCCCTGACTTCCTTTTCTTGGGCTTGGGTGTACTCCACTACAGGCCAAATGTAGACTTCCTTGGTGGCCATTCCCTTAATTTGGCATAGTCTTCCTGAATAGGTGAGGCAGGCTTCTATTTTGCCTGCCTTCAGGAGAGGCTGTAGAACACAACTGAGTAGGGGGTCATCCGGTTGGGACTGTACTGGGATCAGTAGTAGGTTTATTGCTCTGATTTTCCAGGGTAAGGGCATTTGCTGGCTCTATAATTTTTTGTGTTGAAGATTTGTCAGTTTGTCATTGGTTATTCTGTTATTTTTATTATTGTTGTAATGCTTTGATATATAGTGGACTATTGTTACCTGCCTTGGGTTCAGCAAAAGCTTAGAAATAATTATAATAGTTCTGTAAAATTAAGCATAGTTCTTATTATTTTAGTGTACTATTTAAATAGTTGGTACCTGTATTTTATGTGCTGATTTTACTAGAAAATTACTTATAAATGCAATAGATGGCTAAATCTTGGCTTTTGTTTTCCTCCTTTCCTGAATGCAGGCAATGGGCTGGGGATCCGAGTTATAGGTGGGAAAGAGATTCCCGGAGCCAATGGCGAAATTGGTGCTTACATTGCTCAAATCATGCCTGGTGGAAGTGCTGAACAGACAGGAAAAGTTACAGAAGGTAAGGTGATGAAAGCATATATTAAGAAGAGTGTCTACAAAAATCTCTGCACACAGTTTAGGTTCAAAAATTTAGCTATACTTTCCTGCAAACTGCGGTTTGTCAAGAATTTAGATCTCTCGCTAGGTTCCTGTGTTGTGTTCTAGGGAGTAGAAGTGTTGCAATAACTGTCCCTTTCTTCTTCATATCAATTTGCAATACATCTTGGGAACCATGAATGTCTGTGGCATAAAATGCAGTGGTTTCTTCTGTAAGCACAGCATGTTTTATGAAATTATCAGCAGATTTCTTTCACCAGCAAGCTTCTCTCTCTTTCTCTGCCTTCTCCCTGGTCAGGAAAAGGCACAATGGGTGCACTCCATGGGAATCTCCTTTTCTCACTTGGTACCTCTGTTATTTGCAGAGGGTTCCCAGACTGAACTGTAGGAAGCACCAGCTCATATTCATCACAGGCAAAGCGATCTGATGTGTCTGAAATTATTTCTAGGGCAAACATCCACGTAGAGCTGCATGTGGTGTTCAGTGCTGCTCTGCTAGGAGGGGTTTTTGCACAGGTTCCTTTCCACTGCTTCTTGTTTCCAGCAAACCTGAATGATGAGGAGAAAGGTTCTGACTAAATGTTGCACTGAAGTCCAATGATTGGCTCTCCCAACATGTTTGTTTATCCCAAAAAGAGCTGTTGTGGTTCCCAATGTGAATAAGGCCTACAGTGCTGGGGAAAGAGTTGCTCTTCCTCACTGGCCAAGGCCCTGGAACACTCTGCAGAATCCTCTGCATGTGCAGTAGATTCACTGCAAAAAAATCAAGAGGAAAGAATTTCCTGAAGAGAGGAAGACTAAAAAATTCTCTAGCTATCAGGTACAGGCTGTGTGGTTTCTTTCCATATACGCCCTCAGAAGATCTCATTTTGTAGTATCCTGCTACATTTCAGGTTGTCACAGTGTTCAAGGATGAGAAGGAAACAATTGAATTTGGGAGCAAGGCCCACAGAGTTATTATTTCAACCTAAACATTGTGGCCTAAAGTGGCTGTCCAAGCACAGGAATTGCCTTGATTTATTAATAAAGATGGGGAATTATGATATTAAAATAGCAATTGGCAAATAGGGAGCAATAACCTATGTATACAGGAATCCTGCCCTTTCCAGTAAGCCAGAAAATAAACACAGAGACCAAATCTTTAGTGAAACGGTTTCTTTACTGGGAAATGCACACACTTATACAAACACAATCACACACTCAGCAATACAGATCTAGGAAAATTAGATAGAAGTGGTACAGAGACATTCGCATGAGCAGGTAAATCGTTGGTTGGGTGATATGTACCTGTCCTAATGTGATGAAACGATCCTTACAGCGGAAAAATAGGGAAGACTATAAGGGATAAATGGGGTTGTATTCTGAACCAGCAGAACACGTGGAAAGACTCTGGCCAGTGCTACGCCGAGAGTCAGCAAGATAGGGTAGGGTCAGGAGTAGAGAAAAGAGAGAGAGAGCATGGCAGGTCCTGCTCTTTTTATACACTGTTTGGACTTGAGGGTGGGCTTTACTGGCCACTTCCCCTGTCATGTCCCTAGTCTCCAGGAAGTTGCTTGCGGAAAAACTAGTTGCAGGAGGATGGTGGGGCTTAATTTTGGGGCAATATTGATTCTTTTATTACTAACAGTGATACCTGTTAGATTAGAAGACATTAGCAGCAGCAGCCAGGGTCATTAGTGTTGATGGCCCAATGATCTCTCTGGGTGATTGGTTTGCCAGGTACGATGTGTCAGCTGGTTAATCTCTTTATTCAAGAGTTCCTTTGTCATACTGCGCAGCCTTTGTACAGTATCTGGCGAAGGTGAGGGGGATGTGCCTGTGTGCTAACAGGGATTTCTGCTCATGAAGTCTCTATGGAGAAGTTCAGGCTTCCCTTTGCATGGCATGGCGTTCCTCTGCAGCAGGCTTTTACTGGCTTCTGTGTGCTGTCTGTGGCCAGGGTGCTTGGCTCATCCCTGCTCCATTGCAGGTGAAGAGTGGAAGGTAACCCATGGATCCATCCTTGGTCTGGCACATCGCCTCAGGGGGAGGCTTCCCTCATCTGGGCGCGTGTTCACAGTCCAGGCAGTTGGCATCAGCTTGTGGTCACCATACAGTTAATTCCCTTGGCACACTCATTGCACAGTCTAGTTATTAGTTATGGTCTGTAAGTCCATAAGAGCGTCATAAGCTCCTTGCAGGGCAACAAACACATGGGGACCTCCAGAAAAACAGTGATTTGAAAGATTAAAAATAATTTCTGTATTAACCCTAAGAGGAAAGACTGGAAGCAAGATTGTATCCTTTGTTTTTACACTTTATCTTGGGAGCTCTTTAGTATTATGGAGGGAATGTTACCACAAGTTATTTCTTATAGCCAACCAAATTCTGATGAACATCAGTTAATGATTTCTCCAAAATTATATATTTGCCTTTTATTTGTCTTTTGACAGAATGAAATCATCAATATCATGGGTTGGATCCTGCAATCCATGGGGATTGCAGGAGGTTCTTTCTCTTTTGTGAGCAGAGCTTAGTGTTGTGCCTACTGCTGGTTCCTGCTTTCGGTGTAGGGCATGTTTTAGTCCTTGTAGTGAGTTAATCTGGGAGGCTTGATATCCTTTGTGGCTGGTCATAGCACCAGTTTGTGTTTGGTGGTCTGCAGAAGAGAACTACATGGCAACAGGCATACTTGTTCCACTGCTCACATGTTCTGCATTCATGCAACAGTTCATTACAGTTATTTCCAGCATTCTCGTATTAGACTTATAGTGAGTTTGTGCAGTGGGGCTGGAGTTGGGTAGGATGACAGTTTGCAGTGCACTATTGAAAGAAGGCACCTTGAATATAATTTTGAGTAATTTTGAGTAAATATTTGGAGAAATGAATGCAGCCTAATTTTATAAATATAATGAAATATCAAAATGTAAAGCCCAGTTTGTGTGTGTATGTTTGTGTTTTGTTTTACTTCAATTACGCTGTGATCACACACACTAAATAATCCACTTTCCACTTTCAGTGCACTTTTGAATTGGATTTTGCCAGTTCACACAGTAAAAATCCAGTTGGAAAGTGCATTGAAAGTGGATTGAAAGTGAATTATTTAGGGACCTCCGGCCATGGCGGTGCGAATGGCGGTCGCTCTCTCAGGAGCTCCCAGAGGCGACCAGCCCACACACGGTTTGGGGGGGTATCCACACAAGTGGAGACCCTAAGGAGCCTTAGGTAAAGGCTCCAAACCAGGGGGCGCACCAGGGAGTAGCCTCTTTACCGACCAGAAGGTCGAAAAATTGAGGCTTTCCCCAAGCCCCAACGGCCCCACCGTGATGTGCCCCGAATGGGGACTTAGCAACGCCACCGGACCATCGGAGTGGTAAAGCGATGAACTGTAAAAGAGAGAAGACGTCCAGCTACAAACTGTGAGTTGACGATCAAGAAAGAAACATTTTAAGCGCCCCCCCCCCCGTTTGAATAAGCGCTTGGTTGGAGGGCGGATCACTCCCCCCCACAGAAAGAGACTGATTTATCTAAGAGAAGAGGGGGAGAGGGAGAAATTGAAAAACAAAAGTTACCTTTTGGGAGATTTGTAAAAGTGAACTGAAGGGATTGTTTCCCAAGCTGCGCGGCACGAACTTTTGAAAAGTAAACAAAAAACAAAGATGTCGGGGCAAAAGTGAGTCCCGGACAAGCAGATGAAGAAGGCAACAGGCACTTCCAGTTCTAGTGCCCGCCCTGAAGAGCAGGCTGTCACTCAAAAAGAAAGCGAGATGCTTCGCCCTCTGCTGGGCCAAATGCAGAAAATTAACCAAACGTTGCTAAGCATGGAAAGTGCCCTTAGTAACCAGCAGAAACAATTGACTGATACAGCCAAGAAGATGGAGGAAATTGCACAGAAGTGTCTGGTATCAACAGAAGATACACAAAAAATCAAGAAGAAGGTCAGCAAAATAGAAAAACATCAAGAAAGAAAAGATAATAAATTATTGATGTTACAAATGGAAAAATCTAATTTAACTCTTCGATTTCAAGGCATAAAAGAGGCGGAAAAAGAAGATCTCAGGAGTATACTGGCGAGTGCTTTGGCACCACTGACCGGCAGGGAAGCGGATAAATTAAGTGAAGAGATGGATTTGGCTTACAGAGCCTACTCCAACTTTACAAAGAAGAATAACCTGCCAGCAGAAGTGGTAGTCAAGTTTACCAAGCAGCGTACCAGAGATCGAATTTTGAGAACGACATCGGCTACGCCTTTGATGATTGGAGTGCAAACTATAAGAATTTTGAAAGATGTTCCATTTGAAATTTGAATGAAGCGGAAAGCCTATAAAGGACTGACCATATTCTTGAGAAACCATCAAATCAATTACAGACGGTTGATTCCAGAAGGACTTATTTTCAAATTTGAAGAGAAAAGAGAGAAGATTGACTCCATTTTCAAAGGTCAAGACTTTTTGAAGAGGCATGCCAGTTCAGAGGAAGAGGCAGAACTCGCAAAATGGGAAGTATTGAGCGGAGAAGAAGACAGCAGTTTGGAGAGGGAGGACATGAAACCGGAAGAAGAAGGAGCAGCTAAAGGTCCATCTTATAACCTGAGGGATGTAAAAGGAAGAAAACCCAAGATTTGAAGATTTGTTCAGAGAGCGCATTAAAGGACTGTACTAACCCAAAAGGACACTATTAACATTACTAAAAATTTTGTTTTTTGCAGGTTAAGATGAAAGACGATCAGTCAAACACAGAAGAAGCTGAAGAACTTATTGTTACTAATAAAAGATTAATTTACTAACAAAGATACCACTCACCACTTTTCTTAATCCCGCTATATACCCTCCTTTTTTTCTGAAAAATATAAAGCAATAAAATTCTCTCCTTTTTAGGAGAGTTAACTATAAAAAAAAGTGAATTATTTAGTGTGTGACTGCAGCCTTAAAGTACTTTGCCAACTGATTATTCCTTTGTATATGTGAATAAAATATCCTTTGGGGGAGTAGACTTCTAGAAGCCCCTGTTAAATGTCTGTTGGTCTACAAATATGGTGTGTAGAGGTGTAACAATTTTAATTCCAGCAAGAAGCAAGGAAAACCTCTAGTATATCCCATCATCAACATAAACTTCTAGTATATCCCATCATCAACATAAAGAGCAGCAGGTTGCATCTTGTACTAGAATTTTTATTCATTTTATATTTTTGCAAGAAAGGTAGCCTGTAAATAAAGTGGTAAATAAATAAATTCAGATAACTAAATCAAAATTCCAATTGTGTTGGAAGAAATGTGGGCTGCAAGGATTTTTGGAAAAGATTTTTGGATTTTTAGAAAAGAATTATATCATATATTAAAAAGATTTTGGGAGTCCTGCTACAGCTAAAGCCAGAGGTGTTATTATTAAACTAGATTTTGGACCTTTTCTTTTGTTAGCTACTTAAAAAGCAATTACAATTTTGCTTTCTGCTGCTAGGATGATTATTGCAAGTCAATGGAAGAAACATTCGAAACCAACAATAAAAGCCTGGCTCAATAAAATAGCTGAATATTTTGTGTTAGATAAATTAACAGATAGAATAAAACAAGCTGAAAACCCTGAATATCGATCATGTTTGGTAGACCAGTGGTTTCCTATAATAACGTACTTGGCTAACAATGATGTCATAGTATCACCTTTATACATTCAAAAATGTTAATTTTTTAGATAAAGTTGGGTGTTAAAATCTTTAGTGGTTTAACAATCTAATATATAAAAGTTCTCTTTTTGTTCTGTTATGCTGTGTTGTTTTTCTGTTAATTTATAAGGTAAAAATGTATTGTTATTGTTAAAACTAATAAAAATTTATAAAAACAATAAATTCAGGCTGTTTTAACACATTTTTCCCAACTGTGGACCTCAGATGTCTAACAATAATATATTTAAAACAGTCAATTAAAAACTTAAAAGTTATATAATTTATACATTAAAAGGTCTAACTTTAAACCAAAGACTCAATCTCCAAAACTACGTATAAATCATTAGCCATAGTCCCTGCACAATCTTCTAAAAATTAAAAGCAGGCTCCCTCCTAACAGCCTTGAGCCTCCTTTCATGGGGACAAACATGGGGATAAATATTTCAGTAAACAAATGCATTCTGTGAGGCCCTACAAACAACTACCAGTAAGGCTTAAGACCAAGCAGGGGCAGGGAGGAGAGACTGTTTGAAGTGGACATTAATTATGAATAGGAGAGGAAGTTAAGGTCTCTACAGCCATAATGAGCTCCAGCATGATTCATGCAAAAATAGTGTTAATACATTGACTTCCATCAGCATTTTTTTAAGCATCAGAAAGTTTCAGCGGTAAAGAAAATCTGCTGCAAAGAACCTAGAAGTGCATGTGAAAAATGCAAGGTGCACCCAAAGCCTCACCCACACCCTTGATCAATGTGCTTAACAGTCCATTAGCTCCATTTGGCAGAAAAGAGCCTAACATTAGCCAGGCCAAGCACTGACTGTTGATGCTCCAGGTTTCTTGGAGCACTGTTTCCAATTTTATTTTGTGGGGGTAAATCATTTGGGTGGGGGCAAGGTTTAAAATCAACTCTTGGATATTTTCAACCTTAGATTACAGAGAAACACATGAACACATATGTTCCTGCAGCAGTCAACGTATTCAACGCTAAAGTTGCTGGGCAGATGCTATGTGCTGCCGGGGTCTGGATTAGTGCAGTAACAGGCAGTATCAACAGACCTCTATTAAGATTCCTACACAATATTCTGGGAACACCTCAGTGTGTGTCTGGAATAGCCCTGAGAGCCAAAGTTAGAGAGATGTCTTATGAAGCAAATGGCTGGGGAAGAACATTCAATTTGAAGACTAGGATTCTAAAATCAAACCTCCTTGGACTAGTCAAGCTGGACCATCGCACAAGTGATTGGGAAAGATTACTGGAGCATAAACTATTATGTCTGGGAATCACCCATGACGTAAGTTACAAGTAGACAAGAACTGTAAGAGCTCATTAGAAGATGTTTGAGAGACTTTGACTACGAGAGTACGTTGATTAGAGCCCACAGAGTGTGCTCAACCTTTTCAGTAGGCATTCAGCCTCCAATAACAATGCCAGACTACTTATTTGAGATAATTCTTCCAAAGTATAGAAGGGTGTTCATGCTAGCGTGCCTGAATTCCCTACCTTCAGCCGTGATGTTAGGAAGATTTAATGGGATTTCGTACTCAGATCGACTCTGTAATTGCGGCAGCAGTAAAATTGACTCTGTGGATCATATTTTGTGTGATTGTCTGAAATTTTCAGCTCTGAGTTTCAGCCCCTTTTATTTAATCAGGATTTCCTCTCTCCAGGAGCAAAATCATCCCCGTTACTTAGAGATGAAGACAAACAAACTACCCTCTGTGTGGCAAAATGTCTAGCAGCTGCTGTCAAATCACATGACAACTTTTGCAGTAGCAACCTTTACATTCTTCCATGTTTTCCTGTGGAATGAGGTTTATTGTGGGATGAGGGTTTACTATTTATGACTCTGTTTGCCGAAGCCGTAAAGACAATAAATAAATAGCTTTATGCTGACTCAGACTATTGAGTTCACCAAGGTCAGTCATGTGTCCTTTGACTGGGAGTGGCCCTCCAGGGACTCAGGTGGTGCTCTTTCACATCATGTATGAACTGATCCATTTAACTGGAGATACTGTGAGGGATTGAACCTGGAAGCTTCCACTGAGACCGCAGCTCTAAGAACACTTGTTACTTTTTTATATCTCACCTCACAACAGAGATTCTCACACTTTCTTCCCTGAAGGTTCCCTTTCTGAATCAGCTCAAGCCAAGGATTCTTTGATCTGTAATACAATCTTGTTGTCTGTTGGGGCAGGGAAGATAGGGTTTTCAAACGTTGTAAGCCGGTATTTTAATGGTTGGTTTTACAGTTGGTATATTCAGGTTTTAGTAGATGATTATAACCTCTCTTGGAACTTCTTAACTGACATGCATAATACATGTCATTCATGGAAGCTCTGTGTGCTATAGAGGAGTTGGGGACATGTTCTTGGACGCAAAGTCTGCTCACATAGAGCATTATTGGGTCCGACCATTATTCTAGATGACCTTGTAAAGCATCCTCTTGGAACCTGTGACTACATTTTGCATTCTAATATTTTGCAGCACACAAGTTTGTATTCTTTCAGTCTTCCTCACGGAATTTCGGTGTTGTTATTTTTCTTATTGTGAATTTAACACCATACTTTTAATTCTTTTTTGTTTCCTCATTTATCATCTGCACAGCTTCTCAATATATATATATGACCAGTTAAGCAATTCGTTTTCTCTGTGTAAGTAAAATCAGATCAAGGAATTTCTTGCTGTGAAAGTGAAGTTTGATTTTGCATAGTGATCTATATTTTTAAAACACTGTATTCTGGAAAGCTAAACAAACAAATAAAGGTATCCTGTACAACTACAGGCACATGACTGGGAGTTGCATGCACGTGCGTGCGTGCATGCACACGCACACACACAGCATGATAGATTTTGGCCCTAGGTAAGTTGCCCTATAAAAACTTTCTCTGTGTGTAGCCTTTGCTTGTACAGAAGCATAGCTGTTTGTTGCTTCATTTGCCTCCTTATGAACCAAGAAAAGAGTGGCACTCTGTTTAGTAACTTTTGAAGACTTCTTCCAGCTTAAAGAACCTTCCTCCATATAAAGCAGTTCCTCCTGCAATGTAGAATATCTGCATGTGATGCAGAAAATTGGCAAAATAACTCCTCCCAGCACAGCTTTCGTACAAGTAAACTGCTGGGGGGGGGGCAGGAGGCCTTCCTTTCCCTGCAGCACCACTCCTAGCCCATTTGGCCTCTGCTTTTTTTAGAAGCAGTTCCCCACAGTTCTCTGTGGCTGCAGGGAATACTTGAAAACGTGAAAAAAATATTACAAGGTAATGTCTACTTTGGCTCTCAGGCTCTTTTGTGGGCAGGAAAGCTTCAAACTTTTGATGTATGGTAGGATACAGGTCATGGTTCTAGAAATGGAAATGTTTCTAGATATATGTATGGAAGGATTCTGCTTCAAAATTGTGACTTTTTTCCCCATAGTTCAGTTAAGAAGGGCTCAGGCAAGGCTTGTTTTAGAAAATGTCTCTCCATCGCACTTTTGCCATCTCTGGATAACCAAACAGGGCAAAGGTTGCCTCAGGGCCCTCAGTCATAGGGCAGGAGGCCTACAAACCTATCTTTGCAGCACCCATGCTGCAAATTGGCTACCTGTGGGGACTTTGCAGTCATGCCCATTCCTTCAGCAGAAACAGATGGTAAAGGCTTTTCCTGGAAGGAGGAGGAGGAGGAGATTGGATGTATACCCCACACTTCACTGTATCACTTCTGGCTGTGGAGATGGGTATTTGTTTCAATGCTCCCATGAATATAGAAGGAGCCATGTTGGAATTATATAAGCAAGGGCCCCAAGAGCTGCTCCACAGGCTTCTGCCAGGTGTGCAAGCTTGGTTGAAGCCTTCATCTCTCCGCCACCCCTCCCCCCCGGCACTTCCCTTTGTAGCTTTGTGCCAAAGATCTCCTTCATCCAAACATTGCTCCATTCCCCTATGATCCTTATGCCCCTTCACCTTCTGCTCAGATTGGTAAGTGGAAATGCATCACAGGTTACCTGTTTGACCATGTATAGAGTTAAGTTGGCATGTTGGTGCTGTGAGTGCAGTGAAAAGTCTTTGAAACTATTCCAAATCTCTTTTCAAATCTTCTACTTTAACGTATGTTATTTATTTTATTTATTTATTTGTCAAACTTATACCCCGCCCTCCCCGCAAGCGGGCTCAGGGCGGCTTACATAAAAGCATAAATACATTAAAATACAAAAATAAAGACCTTAGACAAAATCAAGGAAGTTGCATAACATTTTCACCATGTTCTGGTCTGCCTCCCTAGGAATGCAGGTGCTGGAATGGAATGGCATTCCCTTGACTGCCAAGACATATGAAGAAGTCCAGAGTATCATCAGTCAACAGAACGGGGAAGCAGAAATATGTGTAAGACTGTGAGTTTCCCCCCATCTTTCTGTTTTCATTATTTTTTTTTGGCTTGTCATGGCTTTTTATTCACACTTGTCAAAGAGGAATTTTGATGGGTTTTTTAGATTTTAGCTTTTGTAGATAACAAAACTTGGTGCAAGTTTTAGAGGAGGATTTTTTGTTCTTTACAACAGACAAATGTGGGCGGTAGAGTTGTCTTCAAACACAATCCACATTCTGCTGAAGACAATTGCAAAGCACCTGCGGGGCTTAATGGGTCTGGATTGTGACCTCCATGTTGTTCCTAATGACTTGCCTTTGGGGGATCAAATTGTTTTTTGTGGCTAAAAAACAAAATCCCAATGGTGCTACTTCTGTGCTAACCATGTAATCCTTAGTTGTCGTGATTTGTTCCCTCTTCTTTTAAGAACCATCTAGATGATGTTGCATTCAATCTGTTGCATTCCATTGTTATGCTGCTTCCTGTCTTTTTTGGATCTTGACTGTGGTGATATATTTTCTACTTAAAATAGAATTGGAGCATCAACCATCTGTTTGTTGAATGACTGCAAAATCTATCCCCCCTTAAAAACTTCCTTACTATACTAGAGAAGCAAGTGGTAAGAAATTAAAGTTCTGTGGAAAATTGGTGGTATAGTATTGAGGGAAAGTTTTCTTGAAAATCTTTTCCACAAGAATTGAAATGTGCATGTTGCCAGGGTTTGGGGGCAGTAATTTTATGCTCTTTAAGGTTTATAAAGTGAGAATTGATTTAAAAAATAGTTACAGTGGCACATGCAAAAAACTTACAAACCTATTAGGTTTTTATACACATTTATGCAGCTATTTTTAATTATATACTTAGGTATGGGAACAGTATGTATATCCCAACAAAAAGATGCAAACAAGTTGAAAGGACTGGACCATATTGTACTCTGACCATGTGACCTGCAGATAACAGGGAGGGTACCGAGGTCAGCCATTTTCTGCTAAATCGCTCACAAGGTGATAGTAATGGAGTTTGTTGAATTTTTTTTTAAGTTATTATAGGTGTTGGTATACACACACACACAGAGCCAAAATTACAAAATAATTCCATCTGTGGGAACAGAATCACATCCTTCTAAAAATTTGTAGAAGATCATATTTCACATAAACTTGTTCTTTTGGCCATAGAAGTAGATATAGGAAGAGTACAATAGTCATTATGGCCTCATTTTGAAGCTTAAAAACTCCTTCCAAAACGTGGTGTGGGGTGCCAAAATTAGGTGAAATGCAGCAGTAACTGACAGCAGAACATTTTGGAAATATTTGAAATTTGTTCAGGAATTCCCACACCCATTGTCTCTTTTGAGTGAATACATTCAGTGATGGGTTTGGCTAGGTTGATTTACCCTCTTGTGATCAGTTCGTCCAGAATATTTAATTGTGGGATTTTCTTGTAAATGTGATGTTTTGGGATGCCATATTTTTGAAACATGCAAAATACCCCAATATCAACATCTGTGTAAGGTGCTAACATGTTCAGAATACACTTGTTCAGTAGTTTAGAGTACATTTAGCACCTGCAAGAAAAACTATCTTTGTGTTCCACTACATTATAGTTCAAAATATTTTAATTTATGTAAATGTTTCATACTTAACTGCAGCAGTAAGATCACCACATACATTCACCACATACATGAGGTAAGGTAGGCTGAGGGTGTTTGACTGGCCCACGGTCACTCAGCAAGCTTCCATGGCAGAGTGGGGATTTAACTGGGTTTCCGAGATCCTAGTCAGACACTTTAACTACTGTACCAGGCTGGCTCTCATGTGTTATCTGTGCAGCAAAAGGCCTGACAAATAAACCTCCCTCCTGCATTCCCTGTCAGTTGAACCTTCGGTGTCCTGGCTGTGGTTTTTATAGTGCTTTGGAGAGCTTTGACTGCTGCAAATGTAGTTCGTATCCTAAGCTGTGCCAAGACTGGGGGAGGAGGCTTGTATTTTATTCTGTCTGTGTACCATGGGATTCTTATCTATATTATTTGCTAAAGATATTGAATACAAATTAATAAAGCTTTACATACAGTACGACATTTTTATAATCACAGTAATAATATTCGGTGGGGAATGTTAAAGCTACACCAGGGTTCTTGCTGGCGTAACGTTCATGATGGTGTCCAGTAGGGTCGCTAACTTCCAGATGGGCGTGGAATCCTCCTGGAAGTACAGTGGATCTCCGGACTACAGAGATCAGTTGCCCTGGAGGAAACGGCAGCTTCAGAGGGTGGACTGTCTGGCACCACATCCCTGCTGAGCTCCCTCCTCTCCCCGAACCCCACCCTCCCTAGGATCCACCCCCAAATCTCCAGGGATTCCATAACCCAGAGTTGGCAACCCTTCATCCAGGGATGTCCAGACCTGAAGAATCTTCAGACACTGATTGACCTTGTTCCACCAGTCCCCACACCATTCCTATGACAGTGACAGACCTTCACCATCCTGATTCCAGCACCACTGGGTGTCAGCGTATCTGCAGATACTCCAGCAGATCTCATGCATACAGTGTTGTAGGGTTTAATTGGCCTCAGAGGTGGGATTTTGGACTGTATGGTGGGCATCTCCATATGTATACAATCATGCTTTAATGGAGTTTGTAGCAGCACCTTAACTGTTTTTAATCAATTTACACCTTGTATAAATATTAAAGAGCATAAAATTACATTGAGCTATGAATGATTGCTGTCTAACAGTTCCTATCCAAGTTATAGCCGATTTACTGAGCAACGGTTGTTGGCCCTTTTGATTCCCACCCCAGCCTCACAGCGCTTGTGGGCCTGAGCAAATGTGGTGGTGGTCATGGTAGGAAGATTCTCAGCAAGTATCACACCCCAATATTGCATCACAAATTTCCCATGGAAAACCATTTGCTCCTCCACTGTCACTTCTGCTATTTCAAAGCAGCCCCATATCCTCTGTGCTGCTTAAGTAATTATATACTGTCTGCTCACGGAGCCCTGGTGTACCTGAATGAATTCCCTTCTTGGGAATGGATGCGGATAGGGGAGGTTTCAGTTACTGCATTTCACTTGGTTGCAACTTGCTTGTTTTTACATTGTTCCGAATATTTTTGATTGTGTGTTTATGGAGAGTTTCATTTTTAAAATGATCATATTTGTGGCAAAGGAAAAAGGTATACTTTAAGCCTCTTCTTTCCTGCCCCTCCCATTGTTGGGCACCACAAATTTACAGGAAGTAATTAGCTAACTCCAAGAAGCAGAAATGTCTGGCAATTTAGTATAAACAGATGGGGAAGGGTTGCTGAGTCTGGCTTACTTTCAAGCAAACGTGATATTGGAATAGGGTTGCCAAACCCCCCCCCCCAGTTTGCCAGGGGTCCCCCGTTTTGGGGGGAGTTCTACCCGCCGCCGGCCAGAAGCCCCACCCCCAACACCCACAGCCACCCATCTCTCTCCCTGTAAGTGTGTGGAACCCATGTTTCCTCCCAAGCCTTATCTCCACAAGCTTGCAGGGAAATGCCAGCTTCGTGTTCTTAAAAGGGAAACGTGGCTGCTCTTAAAGGGGAAACGCTGGCTCCTGCATTTAAAAGGGAAACGCCGGCTCCTTTAAGTGCAGGGAACTGCTGTTTCTGGAGATCTGGCGCACGGGCAGGGGGGCGGCGGACGTCCCCAATGTGACGTCATCACATCGGGGATGCCCCGCCCCCTCCAGGAACGCCCCCAAAGTCCCCTGCTGGGGGTGGAAGATGGACTTGGCAACCCTATATTGGAATCTTCTCCTTGGGGCTGGGCCTTACCAGATTTTACAGATGGGATTTATCAAGTTCCATTTTGAAGTGCAGTCCCTTGTTTCCCTTAGCAATTTTCAGCAAGCAGTTGAAACACAGGTTAACAGTTTCCAAAATAATGCAGAGGACTGTTGTGAAGATGGAACACAAGGTAGTTATAAAGAAATCTCCTATCAAAGCTGGAGATGTGGGTAACTGAAAATAATTTGTTAATACCACAGCAAATTGGATTTAGGCAGGGTCATTCCACCTTGGATCATTGTCTCCTACTGGCACATCTTATTAATAAATACCCAAATGCTTCATCTAGGCAATTATACGTGGCATTTATTGATCCCAAAGCTGCATTTGATTCCATCTCAAGATATCATTTATGGAGAAAACTAAGTAATATGAATATAGATCATAGGTTGCTAGAGGATATAAAAGTCCATTATATGGACACCAGTTTAAAGATCAGACTAGGTGCCCATGGCTAATTGTCCGACCCAGTTAAAACCACAAAAGGGGTCCGCCAAGGCTGCATTTTGGCTCCACTGCTTTTTAATCTATACATAAATGATGTAGTAGATTTTCTATCGGGTCCTCATTTCTTTCCAGTCAAAGTAGGTGGGGAAACCGTTTCCTACTCTCTGCAGATGACACACTACTAATTTCCCACACTCAAATTGTCTCAGAAGGCTGCTGAGGCAGTTCAGCTCTTACTGTAAAAATAATCTACTTCATGTTAATTACAATTAAACCAAGATTATGGTTTTTGCTAGAAGACCACATAGGGCTGCCAAGTGGGGGCGGAGGGCAGGCAAACCCCCACTTTGGAGGCCCGATTTCCGCCACCGCGGAATCAGGCCCCGGGGGGAACTCCACCCCTCAAAGCACAGTTGGGGGCATGGCCCCGATCGTCGGAGGGAAAACTCTATGGTTTTCCTTCCGACAACCGGGGCCACGCCTTCAACATCGACGTCGCGCCAAGCCTGATACATCAAAGAACGGCTCCCAGAGCCCGGTGAGGCTCCCCCGCCGGTAAGACATTTTGACTTGGCAACCCTAAGACCACATCATTATAAATTGCCAATGGATGAGAAACCATTAGAACAAGTTTCTAGCTTTAAATATTTAGGGGTGATGTTTCATCAGTCAGGCTCTTGGACAACTCATATTAACTATGCTAAGCATAACCTCAAAAAAAGCTGTCCTTGGTCGTCTTAGATTTTATAGGAGGAGAGGAGGCTGCTTGATTCTTCCAATTATAGAATTGTACAAAATGAAGTTACTGCTCCAACTTCTGTATGGAGCTCCGATATGGGGTTCCGAAATCTCCAACCTTTAGAAATTTCTCAAAACAAATTTGTGTGTCATTTGCTCACTGTTCCATCATCAACACCTTCAGCTATGGTTAGAGTAGGGGGGGAAGCAGTACGTGGGTGAAAGTATTTTATAAAGATAAACAATGCATGGAAATTGCAATTCTAAATGTGTGAAATATATGTAACCTGCATTGAGCCCCTTGAAAATTTCACCTTAAAGGGGCCATTTTTTCAGCTCTTCAACTTTCAGATGTGTAGTTTCAGCCTCAATGGGGTTATGCTTGGGAGCTGTGTACTGCCATATCTCATGTCTCATTTATCTATTCTAATTATACAATGGGGGTATACAAGAAGAGCTCCTTTTGTCTCAGGTTTTTGTTGCTTCCTTTAGGGATCTCAATATGCTGTCAGATGCTGAGAATCCCCAACATCTGGAATTGCTTGACCCTGGAAAAACAGGTAAGTGAAATTGCTTGAGCCCCAAACCCCATTAATACACACATTTTGATTCCTTTAGGAAATGACTTGCTGCATTTACTGGACATAGGTACAGGAAGTTCCCCTTACACATATCCCTTTGCAGGGAGAGGGTACTTGAAGATGGTCTGCATTACTTATTCAGTTGTCCTTTTTCTAGAAGCGTCCAAAGTAAATCTCCCATTTCATCTTCTTGGATGGGAACTTTGGTTGAAATGTTGCTGATGCTGATGAAACAACAGTGTGACAAGTAGTTACTTGTACTATGCTAGAAGTATCAGCCATATTTTGAAATGTGACAGATTGTTATCTAGCTAGTTGAGTTTGTCCCTGCTGCAATTTGTAAAATTCAAAGCTAGATAAAATTTTAGTTCTATAAATCTTATTAAATTTATTAAGTCATAGAATTGGAGAGGACCTTTTAGATCATCTGGTCCAACCACTTTCTCAATGCAGAAATATGCAACTACAACGTCCCCAGCGGATGGGCATACATTCATTCATTCAGTCATCTATTTATATCCCTCTTTTCTCCCCAATGGGGACTTAAAGGATCTTACAACACCATTTTCCTTTCCCCCATGTTATCTTTACATCAGTCCTGTAAGGTATGTTAGTTTGAGAGGGTGTGACTAGCCCAAGGACACCCAGCAAGTTTCCATAGCAGAGTGGGAATTCAAATCTGAGTCTCCCAGAACCTAGTCCAGCAGGATCTCATCCATCTTTTGTTTAAGTCAACCTCCTGAGGTTTAAAGTCAACCTCCTTTTCCATTGTTGACCAGCTCCCACTGTTGGGAAATGTTTCCTAATATTTAGTCAAAATCTATTTCTTTGCAATCCCCCCATTAGTTCTAGTCCTGCCCTCTAAAGCAAGAGGGGATATCTTCTACATGACAGTCCTTCATAAAATACCATTCATGTGTCTCCTTTGCCTTGAATTCTCCCCTCTAAACATGCCCAGCTCTTTCAACCTTTCCTTATAGGGCTTGGTTTTGTCTCACCATCCTGGTTGTTCTCCCTGTCGCCATACTTCCTAAAATGTGGTGTACAGCACTAGAACCAATTCTCCGGATAAGGCCTGATGAGAGTAGAATGGAACTATTTCTTCATGTGGTCAGCATGGTATACTTCTGTTAATTTGGCCCAAGATTGCTTTAGCTCTATTGGCAGCTGGATCATGTCACTGACTCATGCTCAGCCTGTGATCAGTTGACAGTGCGATCCTCAGCAGTGCTATATCTTTTTAACCCCATTGATTAAACCTTTTTCACATGGATACAGCCAAGCCAGGATTCCCTCATCCTATACTCATACTTTTTTTTCTCCTATCTTAATTTATCCCTGTTGAAATTCACTATGTTGGTCTTGAACGAATGTTCCAGCCAGGGTCCTGTCTCTTGTCTTCTGTGGTGTTCGCTATCCACTACCCAGCTGTCATCTGTACATTTGATAAGCATTCCCTCTATGCTTTCATCTAAAATATTAATAAAAATGTTGAACAACACAAGCCTAGGACAGAACCCTGAGGAACTCCAGGTGTCCACAAAGTCACAGTCATTGGATACAGTTGTTCAGTCAACTATTAATCTGCCTATATGTAGTGTTGTCTGTTTCAGCTTTAACCATCTTGTTCACAAGGGTATCGTGTCAGACTTCATCACGCTCTTTCATAAAATCTAGATACACTATGTCCACTATGTTTTTTGCTAAAGTAACTAATTTGTAAATAATTCTTAATAAGGTGAACAACGTCTATTGGGTCCCCCTTGTTCACCCCTTCAAGAAACACTAACAGGTTAGTGAGACAAGATCTTCCCTTACAGAACCCATGCTGAGTCTGCCTCAATAGTTTTTGTTCATCAATGTGCCTACTAATTCTTTCCTTAATAACAGTTTCCACCAGTTTCCACCAGTTTCCGACTTCAGACTGACTGGCCTGTAATTTCCTGGATTTCCTCTGGAACACTTTTTAAAGATGAGAGTGACATTAGCTACCTTCCAGTCCTCAGGAATGGAGGCAGATTTTAAGGAAAGATGGCATATTTTTGTCAGGAGATCCACAAGTTCACATTTGAGTTCTTTCAGAATTCTCGGATGTATGCCATCCGGGCCTGGTGATTTATCAGTTTTTAAGTTGTCTATCAGTCGTAGGACCTCCTGTCTCATCACCTCAATCTGACTCAGGTCTTTCAACACCCCTCCCGAAAGCAGTGGTTCTGGAGTGGTCAAGCACTTCTCATCTTCCACAGTGAAGACAGAGGCAAAAAATGCATTTAGCTTCTCAGCCATTTCCCTATCATCCTTCAGTACTCCTTTTACCCCTTGGTCATCCAAGGGCCCCACTGCCTCCGTGGCTGGTTTCCTGCTTCTAATGTATTTGAAGAAAGTTTTATTGTTGGTCTTTATGTTTTTTGCTATATGCTCCTCATATTCCCTTTTCGCCTGCCTGATCACAGACTTGCATTTTATTTGCCACAGCTAGTGTTCCCTGTAAGCTGAGTTAGTGTGAGCTAGCTCACAGTTTTTTAGCCTCCAGCTCACATATTTTTGTCTTGGCTCAGGAAGGATGGTTCCAGAGCAAACTAATTTATGCAGTAGCCAAATCACTTGCTCACAACTTTAATGCCAGTAGCTCACAAAGTAGAATTTTTCCTCACAAGACTCTACAGCTTAGAGGGAGCATTGGCCACAGCCTGTGTTCCTTTTTATCAACCTCATTGAGACTAGCTTTCTACCACTTAAAGGAATCTTTCTTACCTTTTACAGCTTCCATTACTTTGTTTGTTAACCATGCAGGCTTGTTCCTAGGAAGCCGTCTTCAGTACATTTTGTTACCATACCTGGCCAAGCAAATTCCAAACAAACAAATAATTATTGGAGTGCACAGAGCAGAACTGCCAAAGTCAGTCAAGCATTTATGTTTAGTATAGAGAAATTATAACATTTAATTTAAGAAAGTGTCCGTTTACTGTTGGTCATCATTATGTCTCTTGCAAAATCAGGAAGAGCCATGAAATACATGAATTCAAGCTCCTTTTGTTGTGAATGTATTAGTAATTGTTATTTTTGACATGAGAATTGCAGAACTAAAAAAATATATGCAGAATTCAACATAAAATACCCTTCTACCTGCAGTGGAAAAAACAAAGTCTCCAGGAGTTGATCCTAAGCAATTAGCTGCAGAGCTGCAAAAGGTCTCCCTACAGCAGGCTCCTTTGGTTGTCTCCTCAGCCATGGACAAGGGCTCCTGTGCTCACTCTGGCACTACATCAGCCACTTCCAGTTCTGTTCCCAGCCCTGGCCAGCCTGGTTCTCCTTCAGTCAGCAAGAAACGGCACAGCGGCAAGGTACAGGGTGTTTTTTCCAACTGAGAATGAGAAGTATGGATAATATACACATATTAGTATAAACTGTATGCATGTCTGCACATTCCCATTAGTGGACTGGGAAAGCTTTGCTATGGGTTACTGTTAAGCTCCATTATAGATAAGTTGGCCTCTTAAATGCTTCAGGGAAACATTGGCGCTTTGCATCTGGTTGGGTTCTTTTGCTTTCTTTTGCGCTTTAGAATCCCTTAGCATTGCAAATGGGCTGTCACTCCAACCCAGAAGACATTTTCATGTTTCATTAGGGCCTCCAGGGCCAATGTGACACTTAAGCAGCTGCTTTGGATGCCAAATGAGCAGGGGTAGAGTGGAAGGAAGTGTGTGTGCCTCACACCCATCTTGGCATAGCCTAGTTCCAAGGTGGGCTGCAGAGATGCTGCCTCTGGAGACTGTCTAACCCAGTGGGGCAGGACAGCAGAAAGTCATTTGGGGCGGTAAATTCCTTGAGTTGCCCCTGCAGAGGCTTGCAATTATTGATTAATTTCAAATAAATAAGGATTATCTCATGTTGGATTCAAAGGACTGTTTGTGGAACATGTAAAGCCTGCTGATCTCTGCTGCAGTAGTCACTTTGTGCAGCTTTAATTCAGACTTGTTTCTGTTTTAATACCTTGTTCCGTTACCAGTATGTGGCGGCTTAACCACAGCAATTCCATGGGTCCCCATCAGAGTGATGAAAAATCATCATGGCAACTCTTGCAAAACTGCTTTGGTGTTGCGATGTCTGCAAAAAGAACAAAGATACAAATGCTAAAATCTCACAACCACAACTAGTATACTTCCCCAATAATATGTGTAATCGTATTCTATACATAGTTTAAAGCAGAAAATCTTACAACACTCAACATAGGATCGGAGTTCAGGATATATTACATAACTGATGCTTATTTACAAGAGAATAAATAACATACAAAATGGGGTCAACAAAATATTAAAATTACCAAGAAGGGTCGGTAGCAGGAAAAATATAAAATTATATACCAACGTCATACAATATGTCCAGTTGTTCTATAGATGTCATCGGCATCTGGTAATCCTCCTGTTCTGGTAGTAAACTTCTGTTTTGATACCAGACATATATAATGACTTATCCCAAGCTTTCCAGCTAGTCATATCAATCGGTCTCTTTGTGATAAAAGCTGTGTGTCTGTGGTAGAATTTCTGTTTGCATGCGGAGGTTCCCAGGTTTGGTTCTTGGCATTTCCTGTTAAAAGGGTCAGATAGTAGCTTATCAACATCTACCTGAGACCCTGAAAAACTGCTGCCAGTCAGAGCAGACGATGCTGACCTTGGTAGACCAAGGAAGTTTCATATATTGATGGCTTTAGAGTTATCCTAAGAATTCCAGTTTAGGATAACTCCAAGCTATTAAAGAAACTCCTGGAATGGACCCTCTGACTACCACCAATTATGCTCTCTGTGGGATAAGACTATGAGGCGTCCTGCCTTGTAGGCAGGGAGGCTATGTTGGTGAGATGGGCATGGAGGGGAAGGTTGTGGGAGGTGAGTATGACTAGGGCCTTTCTTTCACCTTTGCTTTATGTAGCCCTTAAAGTAGTGCCTGATATTATTGAGGTGGGGCATAGGGTAGGGAGGTGTGTCAGTGGGAGGAGTTTTGCATGTAGGCCTCATCATGATTTCCTGGTTTGATACAAATAGACTCTCTCTTTACCTCCAGCTTCACAGGGCTCTGGGATGATAGGGAGATCCAGGAAATCAAGACTCTTGGAAGAAGGATCAGATCAGTGATCCATGTAGTTCACCATCCTGTGGCCAATCCTCTAGGGCCAAGAAACAGAGCATAGACACCAAGGCTTCCTTTGATATTGTCCCCTGGTATTCAGACTTCAATTTCCTCTGGATGTTGAGGTTCGCTTTGGTCATCTTGCCTAGTAGACATTAATGGACCTCTCCTCCATGACACTTCTAAAGCCATCTGTGCTTGTGGCCCTCACTATGTTTATTGGCTAGGCATCAGTAATGCTAAAGTTCAGCAGCAGTAAGACACAGCATTTGAATATGGGCCTTGGGTACATGGTGATGAGTGTAGCATGAAGGTGTGGCCATAGCTGGGTGCTCTGTTTGGAAGAAGAGTTGGTTTGTACCCTGCTTTTCTCTATCTTATGGAGTATCAAAGCAGCTTACAATTGCCTTCCTTTCCTCTCCCCACAACAGGCACCTTGTGAGTAGGGATGCCAGACCCCCTTGGCCGGGGGGGGGGGTCTCTCACTTTTGGGTGCTCCCCCCCATTACCCCCTCTTACCTCCGAGAAGCTGGAAATAACCACGATGTGCATATGTAACCCACAAGTGATGCAGGCACATTGGGGGTGTTGAGCAGTGACGCTCTGGTTTTGGGGCAAAACTCTATGATTTTTTGCTAATTCTACCATAGAGTTTTGTCCAAAAACCAGAGCATCACCACCCAACATCCCTAACGTGCCTACATCACTTCCTGGTAACATAGGCACCTCACGACACTCCTGGAAAGTTCTATCCCACCCACCACTGCTTGTGCATTGTTGGGACCTGGCAACCCTACTTATGAGGTAGGTGGGGCTTAGAGAGTTCTGCGAGAACTGGCCCAAGGTCCCCTGCAGGCTTCACGTGGAGGAATGGGGAATAAAACCCAGTTCTCCAGATTAGAGTCTGCCACTCTTAACCATCACACTGGTTCCCTTTTAGTTTCCTCATCCTCCTTTGGAAGCTCCCACTTTGTGGGATGCACCTGTTCAAGCAGTGTGGTTGTAAGGGGGGTAAAGCTCACCCGTGCCCTGGAGGAGTTTGTGGTTGGATCATGCTGCTGTTTGGATCTCTGCTGCTGTGAGCTTATAAGGCAAGATGGGAACACAGGTGTATGGCCAGCATTAGGGTGGATCAGCTGCTGTCATGTTCCCTGTTGCCATTTCTGTACCCCAGTAGCAGCCTCTCTGCAAGCAGAGCATCATGGAAAATAGGGCCCCTGTCCCATGAGTGGCACTAGCAGTTGGTGTTGAGGGGGAGTTGAAGATATTCAGCCGGTGCACAAGATCCAGATATTGCTGGGTGGTAAGTGGAACTGTCCTAGTAAGAGGGATCCCCGTCCCTTGCTTACACACGTGGTACATTGTCCTTGCATCCCCGGTTGGCTGGGGGGAGGGGCCACTTCAGTGTCTGTATCCAGATGCGGGGTACCTGTGAGGGTTGTCAGTGCTAGCAAAAGGCTCTGTATTAAGACAATACAATCCCACAACCCTTACAGCTCTTTCTACCACTTCCAAAACTGGGGATATGCAGAACAGAGTTAAACCAAACAATATCACAGTATTCAGTAGCTGAGGTTCTGTGGTTTTTACATTTTGCGGCTGACACGTGCCATGATTTTAAAAAATCTTGAGATGTTGCTATATTGACAGGACTTTAATTTTGAGATAAAGTGTCAGATTACAAATCTGGAAATTGTGTTTCTTGTCTAGTTTTTGCAAATGTTCATGGTGGCTTTAAATGGTTGCAGCATCAACACCAAGGGTCAGTAGCCTTAACTTCTTTTTGCACCGAAATGGCAGCAAGAACTGTCACAATCTTGGTAGGAAAAGTCAGTGGTCAGTAATAGTATTTACAATTATAAAAATGAAGGAAACATATTTGATACTGATTATGCTTTTTTGAATATAATTTAGCAGCCTGCTGAAGCTACAAAGTCCAGTTCGCATCCAGTTACCGGAGAAATTCAGGTAGCAATCTGGTATTAACATATATTTTTATATAAATGTATGTACAGAGCAGGCATCAATGGCCCCGGTCACACCGGTCAGAAAATGCGTGGGGGAAGCGTGGGTGTTTGCCCCGGAGCAAAATAACGCGTGGCTGCCCGATCAGACTTCCCGTCGAGGTCCCGTGGTTAGGGGGGGAGGTGCTGATCACATGACTATCCTGCAGCGCAGCAAAGAAGCGGTGCGGCGCAATCACACCAGCAATCGCTAGGTGCCGCTTCCATGGCAATCGGGAATATATATTTTTTCACCAGAAGGTGCGCATGTGCATGATCATTTGTGCGCATCCTGTGCAGACTGAAAAAAAAAGTAACCGGTTTGTGACAGGACTAAGACAGGACGCGATCAGATGCCCGCCCTTGCCCCGCATTGTTCGGAAACTAGTACCTCGTAGCATGATAAATTATGATAAATTATGAATTATTTTCAATCTATGTTATTAAGTCAGGAAATGGTATTTAGTTTTATTAGCAGCATTTATTTGGATAAAATGAATCGCTAACCTTAATTCATGTTTCCTTAGCTTCAAATCAACTATGACAAGCATCTTGGTAATCTGATCATTCATGTGCTTCAAGCAAGAAATCTTGCTCCCCGGGACAACAATGGCTATTCTGACCCATTTGTCAAGGTCTATCTTCTGCCTGGAAGAGGGTAAGTAGTAGAGAGTTACCAGTCTCTCACTGAAAGTAGTTGGATTTGATTACAATTTGCTAGAAGAAAGATGCAGCACACAGGATTTATTTAACATTTTCAAGCTTCACAGTATTTTTGTCATAGTTACTTGACCTTTAGGCCATGATGTGTCTGCTGTAGGCAAACATTAAAAGCAGGTTAGTGAGAGGTAACCATAGTCACCTACTCATTGCTTTCCTTTTGACCCAAATTCTGCAGTCCCAGCTTTTCTTCATACAATGTATGAATCATACAACTGTGATGAAGAAGCATTCACCATTATTTATCTAAAGATGTTATACAAAACATTAATTTCTGAATGTGATGATTACAAGAATTAATACAATAGAATAGAAGTGAAAAGGCGGGATGGTGGTCTCCAGATTGGTGCTGCCATTTCGACAATGTGTCTTCTTCTGACCAAAAATTGTGCCCTTATAAATAATTCAAAATTATGTACAATCAATAAACAAATCAGTGGTAAATCATGCCATTGATTCCTCCTGGGAATCAAACTGATTTTCGGTCACAGTGTCCATTTTTTGGCATCTAGATCAGGATTGTCTACTGCAAGTAGCTTGATCTTGCAGAACTGGATGTATTGAGCCAGAAACTTTAGAATGAAATCATGTGTTACCTTTCTTCAGAAATAACAGTAGACTCCTTGTAAACAAGTTTAGTAATAAATGTGTAGATGTAAGTGACGTTGGAAAAGAGTGATGTGATAAACCACAAATTTTAGTTCAACTGGAATGTTGGCTACTGAATGAACAACTGGTAAAATAATATCTTACTTCTTTATTTCCTATATTTAGTTTCCACGGGAAAGCATAGTTAAACTGGAGAAACAGTCAAAGGTGCTACTGTATTCTCTGAGTTGACTTACTAATTGCTAATTAGTTTTAAAGGTTTCTGCATGTCCAATTGCCTAGGCCACTTAATCTTTCTATTTTTCGTAATTCTGGTACAAAAACCATGATTGCACAAATTGTTTTACTCTCTTCTTTATCCGATTTCTCTTCTGCTGCCTCCTGTCTTTCCCCATCAATATTCAATGCATTCTCTGGGTTCTTGCAGTCAAGTAATGGTTGTCCAGAATGCAAGGTAGAGTGGTTATCCTTTAATTTCCTTTCTGATGTTTCTGTGTATGAAATAGCTAATATCCTGTGCGTGAGTTGCACTGACTGATGAAACAACTAATAAACATTTCCCTCGATGATGAATTTGTTGTTCATTGGCTCATGCCACTGAAAAATCCCAACTTGGCAAAGAGCTGTCATGCTTACTTCTTAGGAGACAGTCTTTCAAAATGGTGAAAAAATGAATTAAATAGGCTATTTGTTATTTCAAGGGCTCCATACAGTGGTCTTTTTCTGTTATGTGGAACAGCAATGCACTGGGAACTTCTTCCATATTTATTTTATTGAAATTTTTATTAATTAACATTTTATTGAATTCATTAATTTGTAATTGAAAAAGTGGTAGATAAAAGATGATTTAAGAGTGCACTGGTCCTAAGGATAGTATGGCTTCCTTTGACATACCACCAATCTTTCTTTCTTTCTTTCTTTCTTTTTTTCTTTCTTTCTTTCTTTCTTTCTTTCTTTCTTTCTTTCTTTCTCTCTCTCTCTCTCTCTCTCTCTCTCTCTCTTTCTTTCTCCCCCCCCCTCTCTCTCTCTCTCTTTCTCTCTCTTTCTTTCTTTTTTTCTTTCATGCCTGAGGAAGAGATTTCCTCCACATTTTCTTCAAATTTCTCTTTAAGAAAATTTCAGTGTAAACTTTCCCTAAGAAATGTTACTAATCTTACAAAGCTTCATTTGGGTTCCCTGGAGATTTCTCAGATTTTTTTCAGGAGGAAGAACCCACAAAATTGCTTTGGGCTTTGATTTAGGTGGAAATGGAACAGCAGCTCTAAGTCTGGCTCTCTTTTAATGATACAAGCATTGCCCAGTATATGCAGATCTCGTCCATTAATTCTCGTTGCAGTTGATTATTTACCTACCTGGAGGGTTTATATTTTCAAAAGCAAGAAGAGTTCTTGCACTTGAAGGCCATGAAAAATTGTTATCTGTAATTTCAGAGCATTGCAGCAAAAATAAACAGGAGTCTAGTGGCACCTTAGTGACTGGGGTTTATTCCTAGTCCCTAAGGGGCCTTCCTGCAACTTAAGTAGCTCTTTGTCCAATGAAGGAGCCACTTAAAATTGGAGGGAGGCTCCTTGGAGAATTGGTTGGCCTCCTCATCCAGTATTAAGTCCTCCAACCTTTATCCACCACTCTTCCTCTTTGTGATGGTGTGCTGGCTAACCCACTTGGAAAGGACAGGGGCAACTGGACCCCAACATCAAACGGTCTATGTTCTGTCCCTGGTGGTGTTCCCATTGCTGTAGTCCCACAGGCTAGGAGCCCAAGGCCAAGAGCCTCAGTTCTTGCCATTTGGCAAGCTGGCTAGTTTAAAAGCATTGCCTGTTAAAAGACAGAAGGTCATCACTCCCTGCAGGTCTTATAGCTGGCCCAGGGGTTCTCACTGCAGCCCTCTCCTCACTGGCTTGTTTAAAAGCACTGTCTGTTAAAAAATGACTTGTAACAATATGGCAAAACTGAAGAAGCTGTTCCACAGTGGAGAAATAACCCTTTTAAGCTCTTTGGGTTCAGAAAATGTCATCAGCTGTTGGAATTTTCTTACCTTATTTTAATTTTATTGGCAAGTATCCTTCCGCTCCGCTCAGCAATTTAAGCATGAAGCCTTCCTCCAACATTAAGTGGCTATTCTGCCAGAGGAAGATTTACTTAAATTGGAAAAAATACTTTTTAGGCTGGAGGAGAACTTTGAGCTTTGTTGTTTAGAGTGGTTGGATACAAGCCATTAAAACGTCCTTTTGTGGTCTCCCATTAGAACCAGTAAAGTTGGAATGTGATGTGTGGTCTATCATCAACTGCATGTAGAGGCAAAGGAATCCTAACTATGAATTGCATTTTGTCATCATGTCAGGGTCCAGGAAACAATGTATTAAAAATTAGATAATTCAGTAAAAGACCTGAGATACCTTATAGAAAAAGCAGCTTTTACTGGGCTTCCAGGTTTGTTTTTGCCATAGGCAGAAGGAAAGGTTCAATCTTAAATTAATGTTTCTGTTATTAGCAGGATATTTCTTTTATCAGAACTTCCTTTTAATGTTTTCAAGGGATATTTTTCTGATGATTAAAGATTAGCAAATAAAAATACAATGATTAACTCCCTTTAGGGTTGCCAAATGGGCCCGGGGGGCAGGGAATCCCCCGCTTCGGAGCCCCGATTTCCACCCCGGCGGAATCGGGGCCCGGGGGGAACCCCGCCTCTGAAGCTGCGTTACCAGAGGCTGACGTTGCTGGCGTTGGGGGCGTGGCTGAGCCATATGGTTTTTCCCCCGACGAGCTCCATCACGCCCCCAACGTCAGCAACGTCGCACGTCACTTCTGGTGACGTCCTGCCGCGCACGCACCCAAAAGGCTCTCCCGGACACCGACGAGGCTCCCCTGCTCCGAGGGGTAAGTGGATTTGGCAACCCTAACTCCCTTTCTGCTTGATGGGTGGAAGGAAGCTTTCCAAGAAAATCAGTCAATCTCCATTTATTCTTATAATGAGAGCTACCTCTGAAAAGCAACAGGAGTAATTTTTAAATATAACAAGGGTATTTGTTTTGTTAATCACAGGCTGAGGCTGAAAAGTTTCTTAGTAGACCGAGTTACATTTTCACCGAATGAACTGGTAGAGTTGCAGGCAAATCATTATCAGAAACACGAGCGAATCTACTATCATTGTGGGCTCTTCCACATTCTAATTATCCTCATTTGTGTATTCCTGTTGCTTTATTTTTTTTTTGGGGGGGGGGATTCTGTTATGCACATGTTTTGCTCCTTCTAATGGTTGATTCAATATTACATCTTGTCATGTCCGCCATAGAAACCTGCAGTTTAAATCTGCAGGGAGATATGCCAGACATAAAATGATGGAATGTTGAATCAACCAGTAGAGGGAGCAAAACACATACAGAACGGGGGGGGGAACCCCAAAGCAACAGGAACATACAAGTGTCGAAAATGAGAATGTGAAAAAGCCCTAAATTGAGCTGAATTCTAGGTTTTATTTGTTTTTTTGCCATTGTTTCTGTGTTGAAAGAGGAGGTGAGTAAAAATCACTAAGCATCTTTCTTGCTTTGTCCTAATACAGTGTTGAGAACAAGAGGAGAACTAAATACGTACAGAAAACCTTGAATCCTGAATGGAACCAGACAGTCATTTATAAAAACATCTCCACAGAGCAGGTCTGTGACTATTCTATTCTGTACCAGATGTAACCAAAGTGTTGCTCCCAGATCATGTGAAGCTCAAGATAATGCATTTCCAGTAACAATATCTCATACTACTAAGACTCTGCCTACCTTTCCAGCTTTTCTTCCTGAACCCCCTTGCTGACACAGACTGGAGACATGCTGTCCAAAAGATTAGAGGGCTGGTAGAATCACGTGCCTGGGAAACATCCATGACTCTCACATCCCCTTTCCTTATAGGCCCTCATTACAGAATGGAATAACCTTAATTTCCCCTGATTTAATGAAGCATCAGAAACTTCTATAACTTCACCCCCATCCCCAGCTTCACCCCTATTTGCCTGCCCTTGACCACCCGAACTTCTGACACAAAGGGGAGGAAGACTGCAAGGCTTAACAGGCCTAGAACGTAGGTATGTCTTCTCCTTGAGAAAGAACCTCCAACATTTATATTGCATTTTTAATTTTAAAAAATGTATTCAGTAAAAGAAAAATTTGATACAAAGCGTTACAAATTCATCTTCAGTTCTATATACATGTCATATAGATATTATTAAGTTCATTCACCATGCTAGCCAGAATTTATCAAATTCCATTTATCAAACTTTCTGTAATTTATCTAACTTTTTACTATACAGTATAAAGGGTAGTTTATTCAACTGTACACATTCCTTCAGTTTTCCCAATTACTCCTCTTTATTTGGAGGTATGTTCCATTTCCAATATCTAGCAAAACCTAATCTTACAAAGGTTATGGCATTTAAAACTTACCAGCTTCAAGCTTTTTTTTTTTAATTGTAGCTGAAGAAGAAAACCTTAGAAGTTACAGTCTGGGACTATGACAGATTCTCCTCCAATGACTTGCTTGGTGAGGTGAGTGTTCCATTTTTCTGCTTCACTGCTTTCCCTCACCACACAGTGTAGTTAATGCAGAGTACATTCCCAGAGTATATTTTTCATTGACATATGCAATTCCATTATTCTTGAGGGATAATATGCTTCTGTGGTGCAAGGTAATGAGTTTTATTGAATCTTTCCATAAATTGAGTGAATTTGTGCCAGGGATCTTTGCCATCTTTCGTTTTCCAGTATTTTCCCCTGCACCCCTGGAAAAGCTGCACCTGGCAGATCCTCAGGAACAGCATGAGGGGCTACAGCAAATGCTCTTGTACACATGGAACAAGCTCTGTGAATGGAGCAAAGGCTTACCCAAGAACATGGGAGGGATTTATGCCCATTTCCCCCTTCTTGCTGCATCCCCCATTCCCCCCTGTAAGACAGATATGCATCTCCTTATTGCCTGTCTGCTGTGTCCCTTCCCCTCCTCCTGTGTCCCCCCAAAGCTGAGATTTCCTCAGACCTGGCTTTTGATTCCCTGTAGAGAGCAAACTCCAGAGGACGATGGAAGACAGGAGGGCCTGGTGCAGGCCTGTAGCTCTCAAGGGGCCCATGGGGCCCGCCCCCTCTGTGGTTTTTGCAGGCCCTCCCCCGATCCTCAGCTCCCCCTCCCTTCCCCTGGCCCCCTCACCCACTGATTGATCGTCTTGTTGGCACTCTGCTGGCTGACTTGGGAGAGGAGCAGCAGAACTTCTTGGGGAAAACAGATATAGGAGTGGAGCCAGTTCCCGCCCCGACCGACCTCAGGCTCAGCATTGGCTGCCTTATTTGGAATAGTGGGCAGGCTCTAAGCAAAGAGCCCGCCAAATACAAGTTTAAGCCAGCCACCCCACCACTTCCTCCAACTCCAGGCAAACTGCAGCAGCAGCAGAGCATGAGGATCTAAGCCTTCTGCTTGTCCTCCTGCACAGCCCCGGGCCATAGCTCCTCCTTCTCCTTCTCTTCCTCCATTGGATGATCAGACCCCGGCAGCTCCGCCTTCAGCAACTCAGCAGCTCAGCAGTCTCGGAGGAAGTCTCCTCTGCTGAGCCTGGTCATCTTCCGTGGGGCCGGGCAGGCTGGCTGGCTGGGGTTTGTTGTTACCCCTTCCTTCTGTTTTCAGTGTGGTGGGGCCTGTCCTGGTTCTTATTTCAGCTCTGGGCATCTCCAGCTGGAATTGGAAAGCTAATATGGCACTAAGCAGCTTGATTTCTGTAAGAATGGGTGGGGTATATTTCCACTGATTCTACCTTCCTTATACTTCAGTATTCAATATACATTTTTAAAAGCTGTATCACTCTGGCCATTTTTAAGATGCATTTATTATTTATTTATTATTTGTTATTTAGAAGTATGAACATGGCGTGACAGTTCCACACAGACATATAATGGCAGGCCCCACAAGCAAAACATTGCCCCCCACCACCAAAACGTTATTAGCTACGTGGCTGGCCTGGTATAAAGTGGTCCATGGGGTTGGGAAGAGTCGGACTCGACTGTGCGACTGAACAACAACAGAGAGCTCTGTGGCTTAGCTTAATAAACAAACTCTCCAAGGACCATATGGAAAATGTTTCTTAGTAGCCTATTTTTTTTTTCTGGAATGTTGTCTGTCTTACATGCTAGATGTATTTTTGTAGCCTACTTGGCATGCTGCTTTGTTTTGACTGAAGAAAGCCTTGAGCTGCATGCACATCAGTCACAAAGATCTATTCTGGAATGTATTAAATAACTTACTGTCTGTGTCACTGTGCAGGTATTAATTGAGCTATCTAGCACCTCTCAACTAGATAATACTCCTCGGTGGTATCTACTGAAGGAGCAAAGTGAAGGCATCGACCATGGCAAATCCCATTCTGGACAAAGCAGCCAGCAGTCACCAAAACCATCTGTCATCAAGAGCAGAAGCCATGGGATTTTTCCTGATCCATCCAAAGGTAAGTAATTTTTCTATGTGTATGCATATGAAGGCTTCCTGATGAAAACACCCCCTCCTCCCTCCCTCTTTTAGTCCATGCTAAGGCTCAGCAGCAAGCATCTGGCGCTGTAAAAGGCCCTCACCATAAGAATGATTTTCTAAGCGAAGAGTTTCATCTGAAGAGTTCTTTAGTCACCAAAGCTTTTCAGAATCAGCTCCAGCTGCAATTCTTTTGTGCCTGTGAAGCAGAGGCTGCATTCAGACGGGCAGTTCAATCCGCTGTTGCCCCACCTCTAATTGAGCCAGGTTATTTTGTCCTGATCAGACTCACTCCTTTTAGCACTCTTCAAAGTGCTTTTACATGATCAGATGGCAGCAGGCAGGGAGTTTATCCTCGGAGCATGCCCACAAGCACTGATCAGCCTGTTGGGATATGTAGTTCATGGGCTGCCAGCCATGTTTTTAAAAAGTCTGCCCTCTGAGCAAGTGCAAAAGTGCTTGCTGAAACTGCTGAGATATGGAGTCCACTGACATCCTCCCTCTAATCTTTTCAATTTACCCCTTCCCCAAAGGACAGAAAAAAAGCTGTCTTTCTTTGAGAGCTTTTAAAAAGAAAGCAAAGTTTTGAGCAGACCCGGGGGGGGGGAGGTGCGTATATGTAGTTATGCACACCTCACTAGCTAGTAAAAAAAAATGGTGGCTGGAAAGCAAGAGACCAGTCAGACCTGCCTGATGGCTTGTGTGCGCAACAGAGCAATCAGACAACAGAAAATTTGTTTTGGAACCAGCTCAGACTAACAGGACCAAACTTTCTCAAGTGTCAAAGAAACACGCAGCAAAGGGGGGGGATGGGACTCAGATGACTGGGGCATGACAGACAGATGTTGCTGCCTGATTATGTGCTTTAAATCTGTAAAGGAACAGCAATGGAGGAAACTGCCCATCTGAACGCAGCCAGAGATATCAATAACAGGACTATTCCTATTAGGTAATCACTGTATTTCCCCTTGCCCATCAGACATGCCAGTGTCCACCATTGAGAAGTCCCACAGCAGTCCTGGAAGCTCCAAATCATCCTCTGAAGGACACCTGCGCTCCCACGGACCATCCCGCAGCCAAAGCAAAACCAGCGTCACTCAAACTCACCTTGAAGATGCTGGGGCAGCCATTGCCGCTGCTGAAGCAGCTGTCCAACAGCTCCGCCTTCAACCAAGTAAAAGATGCAAATAAAATTCCTCAGCATGGCAGCTTAATATTCATCTGTTGCTTCCCCTCCCCAGCTGTCCTTTCCTTGCTAGGCTTTTCTTTCTGTTCTCAGCACACTGAGTCAACATACCTCCATTTGTCTGTGTGTCAATATATATAAACGTAATATATTCTCCCTCTTTAGCTCTCCTCTTTTATTTACACAGACTGCTGTAAAGCTGGCTGTTTCTCTGCATCTCTGTCCATTCCATAGTGCACAGTGCACCATGTGGGGGAATTCTGTTGTGTGTCATTGCTTTAGTGTATCTAAACACCTCAACCAATAATTCAGAGTTCAGGTATTTTGCTTCCAGTACCCCGTTTTTTACTGAGAAAAACCACATTGTTTGAATTAGAAAGCAATCAAGAACCCAAAAACCTTTAAGAACCCCATAAAACAATTTCAACCTTTACAGAACATGGCTCAGTTTTTCACCGGCAAGCAATGGCCGTTCTACTTTTTGACACGATTGTTAAAGACAAAATCCTTGAAGTATTCGTAAGCCAAGCAAGTAATTATTAATAACCATCTGATTTGCTATGCTGGGTTTACATTATGCTGGGGTGGGTGCAGTGAGGTTCGACAAACTGCAGCTCCTTCTTAGCTCTCCAGAGTGCAAGTCATCCCTCCTGGAATTGCTGGTTGAGGGTTTAGTTGTGGGGAAATTAGTATAATCCACCTGTGGCATCCTTGTGTCATTCCCGTGATGATCCAGTGTGCCATGAAATCACTCGGTATAATGCAGAAAGAAGGAAACAAGACATTCACGGTCTTCTTCAGTCTTTTGTGTTGTTGTTGTTAAAAAGAAACAGCCAGTTTAATTGCCCCCCCTTTGATGCTGTGCATGTGATGTCTCTTTGGTGTTCAGACGCTTACATATTTAAATATGGAAAAGAAAACCTCCCACTTCTGTTTGCATGACTAACATTTAAGCTGGTTCCATCTGAGGATACATACTCTGGGTTTCCATTTCACTCACACTGCCACAGCAGCACATAAAAGCGGTCAATCTAATAATGCAAAGAAGCAGCACAGACACAGCATTGCAGGAGTCCTTCCCATTCAAAGAACTCAGTCTGACAATCTGCCTCCACCAGCCAGTGACAGCAGAGATCAAAGCCAGCTAGCCCTCAGGAAAGTGATGTCCGATGAACCAGCCAAACCTGAAGGAGGTGAGCACAAAGCCAAGCCTAAGAAGTCAACTTTTCAAATGCCACCTTTTTTAAAATAAAAAAAATATGTTTATCGATTGCCTTTCTTTAGACAAACCAATACCGCACTTCTTGCCAAGTCTGCTGATTCAGCAGAGATTGAAATTCAACCCTCTTTCCACAGGGTTCAGTTTGAGAAAAAAGCAAAATGTTTCCCAACCTTACTACTCATGTGCAAGCCCCATTTTGAAAGGCTGTGTGCTAAGTCTGAAATATAGAACATTCGGGTTCAGGGACCTTTGTCCAAAAGTGGGTTGACTGTGCTGACATTGCACACTAAATAGCATGCAGTGAACATAAATTGTCTGAGAGTGATGAAACATTTTTACATGGTTAAAGTCTATAGCTTGTGGTTCGGGGTGCACATTTCGGAATTCCTGAGCCCAAAATATACATGGAAATTGCCGTTTTGCGTCATTACTGTGATTTTCCGGAATTACTGAACAAATCCAGGATTCTTTGGCATTATATGCAAATAAAAAATCTGTGTGCCTTTTCCCCAGACAGTGGCTTAGGGTAGTTGGATCCCAGCCGGCTCAAGCCAGGCTCAGGGCCCAGGAGAGCTGCTGTTCTGGCTTGTTCCACCTTCTTCCCTCTCCCCTTTGTGTGGGTGGGATAGGATAGTAGGGTAGCTGGGGGACCTATAGAATTGGGCCACTTGGTCCATTTTTCTTGAAACTTGGATTGTCTTTATTGGACAGGCAGCACATGCTCTCCTGCAATTTTGGTGTCATTTGGCTGGGGGGAAAGCCCCACCAGAACCCCCCCCCAAAAAAAACCCTCCCCCATAGGCAACAAACTCTGAAACCCATCTTTTCCATTCTTACATTTGTTCTGAGAACCATGACCTTGTGAGATGAATGTTTTAAAAACTAGAGCAGAAAACTTTAAAAAAATGAATCAGGCCTGAAGATGGATTTTGTAATATAAAATCATTACAGATAAATGAATAATTTGAACTCCTTGGTTGGCATAATGTGCAGGTTCTTTAATCTGCTGTTTCAAAAATAGTTTAGCGATTAAGGTAATGAAGAATAAGTTTTGCCAGTTCACACCAGTTCAAAATGGGTAATTCCTCGTTTGTGAGACTGGCCCAAAGAGCATTCAAATCAAATCAAATTTATTGTTACAGTCAACGACCGGTGCACTCAATCATTTTACATAAAACATTTAAATAATAAATATGAGATAAAACCAACAGTGGCATACTTAAATTTTAAAAACTGTGACTATAACATAGAGATAAAATAAGACAGCCATAAAATTTGTGTATAATTTAGATAAAAGATTAAAAAATCTAATTGCCATGCATTTTACGTTCCTTGTAAACCTGTGCACAAAATCTAGCCACCTGTCTTGTTGTCTGGTGGTTCTTGCCAGAAAGAGCATTCTGGTTTATAATGCTGTCAAAACCCGAAAGCTTAAAACTGTGGTTGCAGTTTGTATTCTTTCTCCACTAGATTTTCTAAAAAAGTTAGTCACTTATCCACCCTTACTGTTTCCTCAGAGCACCAAGCATTTATGTTAGCATGTTTAAATGCCTTCCCTTCTATAAGTTTTTACAGGAGGTTTTTTGACATCCCCTTTTCAGGTAGATTTTGTCAATGTGGTTTTGGCATTATCAATACCATTTCTCACATAATGGTGGACTGCCCTTGCTAAAAAGAGAGAGAGAGAGAGGTGGATCTAGTGGTGGATTTTGGTGCATGATAACATCTCACCTGATTCCGTTTCCGAAACCCTACTTTTAGATGTAAACTATGATTGCACAGCAGCCATTGCAAAGTTTTTGGCAGCTGCTTCTTCTAGGTGCAAGGGCTTAAAGTTAAATTAAAATTATTTAGAAGTAGTATATCATTATTCTATGGTTATGGGTTGTTCAAGACCTTGTGTCTATGAACAAAAAAGGGAACAGAAAGAAAGAGCCGCAGGATTTATTTAATTAAAAAGAAACACTCAGCATACTTCACAAATTACTAAAAGAACTATCAGGATGAAACATGCAGAGTCATTACTCCCCACGATTAGAAAATCAGCAATATTTAATGTCATGGGGCAGTAAGCCTTGGAAAGGGGGAGGTTCACTTAACACTAACTCAGAGTGATGAGTCACACACACACACACACCCCAGGTGAAATCTCTGCCGCAAGAAGTACTGTAACCACTGAAAGTTGGAGCCACGGCCTAGTGGCAGAGCATCTGCTTTGCTTGCCAGAGGTCCCAGGTTCAATCCAAGAATCTCCGGGACTACATAGTAGGAGATAAGGAAGACCTCAACCGGGACTACATAGTAGGAGATAAGGAAGACCTCAACCGGGACTACATAGTAGGAGATAAGGAAGACCTCAAGGAGATAAGGAAGACAAAGGATTCTGACCCTGGGGACACAATAGTCTAGCCTAGTACAAAGGAGCTTTGTGTGCTTAAAAATCATGTCCTCAAAAATCCAGAGGGGCTTTTCCAGGGTTTGGTAGGAGCTCTCAAAGCAAACAAAAATGAGTTTATAACTCCTCCCTTGGCAGTTCCCCTGTCTCCTGAGGAAAAAAAGGATTACATTTTGTAAAGGAAAGGGATAATGTACAGAGGGGAAGCCTAACTGATTATATACTTCTTACAGCTGTAATTTCTGGCCATTTCAAGTCCATTCTTCCTTGAGACTCACCCTTCACTGATGCTGCCTCCTAGCACTGGTATTCAGAAGTTTATGGCTTCTGAATGGGGTTACATTTAATTAGCTTGGCTTTGATGAACTAATTCCCCTATAAAGCCATTTATACTTGTGACCATCATGTATGTCCACTTGCAGCAAATTCCACCATTTAATTACTTTTTGAGTAAAGATGTATTTCCACTTGTCTGTCCTGAATCTATTGTCCATCAACTTCATTGGGTGCCCATAAGCCCTAAAATTATGGGAGTGGGAGAAAAAGTTCCCTTTGTCCACTTTCTCCACCCCATACATAATTAAACAAACCTCTATCTTAACTTTATATACTCATTTGTTTTCTCTATAGTACAAAGTCCCAAACTCCTTAATCTCTCTTCATAGGGAAGACTACCAAACCACTTGCTCATCTCCATTGCCCTTGCACTTTTTACAGCTCTGCAGTATCTTTTGCAATTGAGGTCATGCCATAGGAGCACTACATTTTCAATCCCGTTTTTAATAATCTCCATAGTTTTTTGACTGCTGACACACTCTGAGTCGCCATTTTCATTGAACTATCCACAACAAGCCCAAGATGTCTTTGCTTCTCAGTCTATATTTCAGTCTATATTTAAAGTTAGGATCTATATTTCAGCCAGTTCAGTATATATTTAAAGTTAGGATCTTTTGTTCCAATGTGCATTGCCTTACACTTACCTACACTGAACTTCATTTCCCACCTTGTTGCCCACTCTAGGATTGCCAGCTCCGGGTTGGAAAATACCCGGAGATTTTGGGGGTGGAGCCTGAGGAGGGCAGGATTTGGGAAGGACTTTAATGGGATATAATGCCGTAGTCCACCTTCCTAAAGCAGCCATCTTCTCCAGGTGAACTGATTTCTGATGCCTGGAGATCAGTTGTAATCCCAGGAGATATCCAGCCACCACCTGTAGGTTGGCAACGCTACTGCTCACCCAATTTAGAGATATCTTCCTGGAGCTCTTCACAATCTGCTTTGGTTTTCACCATCCTGAATAATCTGATATCATCCACAAACTTGGTTATTATACTACACTTCTCAACCCTAATTCTGGATTGTTAATTAACAAATTTAACAGCACTGGTTGCAATAACAATCCTTATGGGACCCCACTGCTCACTTCTGTGCTCACTGAGAGCCAGTTTGGTGTAGTGGTTAAGTGTGTAGACTCTAACCTGGGAGAAATGTAGATTTGCCACTTAATCCTGAAATGTATTTGCTAAATATGATCCCAAAGGAGTATGATCATAACGAAGCATATGTGATGATATATTTTTTGACGGCAGCAAGGATCCTTTGGGCTAAATATTGGAAGTTGGATAAAATACCTTATAGAGAAGAATTAATACATAAATTAATGAATGTAGCAGAAGTTGATAAATTGAATGTACTATTATGCAGGAAGGATGTAAAGATCTTTGAAAAAAGGTGGTCGGGATTATATTAATGGTTAGAGAAAGAAAGAAGTAACAGACTCTAATGTATATTTATTTTGGTATATGTTTACTTTTTTGTAAAAGTTGAAAACTTATAAATAAAACTTTTTAAAAAGACAGTTCTGGAAAGAGCTCTCTCAGCCCCACCTATCTCACAGGGTGTTTGATGTGGGGAGCGGAAGGGAAAGGAGTTTGTAAGCAGCTCTGAGACTCTGAGTAAAGGGCGGGGTGTAAATCCAATCTCCTCCTCCTCCTCCTCCTCTTCTTCTCCTCCTCCTCCTCCTCTTCTTCACCATTGTGAGAGCTCTCCGTTTCTTAATACTCTCTGCTTCCTGTCATTTAACCAACCCATCAGAGGGTCACTCATCCTTACCCATGACTGCTGTACTTCCTCAGGAGTTTTTTTATGAGCATTTGAATTTAATGTTGTAAAGGTCATAACATAACATCACAACATAACATAACATAACATAACAACATAACATAACATAACATAGTTTTTGATGAGGGATCTTGTCAGAAGCCTTTGGGAAGTCCAATTATATGATATCCACAAGGTCACTTTAATTCACATGCTTGTTAACATTCTCAAAGAACCCTAAAAGGATGGTGAGGTAGGACTTCTTTGCAAAATGTTTTGTTCCTCTGTGTGTTTAATAATAATTCTGCCTTCCCTAACAATTTCTACAGATTTACCTAGAAACATATGTCAGATTTCCTCTCTTCTCAGCTATCAGCCACAAGCTTGGTGTTTATTATCTCCAAACCAGCTTAAGAACATAAGAGAAGCCAATGTTGGATCAGGCCAAAGGCCCATCCAGTCCAACACTCTGTCAC